GGTAAATATTGAGCATCTATTTAAGTGATTGGCAGGTTGAAACCTTGATGCAATACAAACCCACGAGAGCTGCCCTACCCACTGCCTCTCTTAATCACACAGTGGTGCACAGCAAACAAACAGCTCCTTTACATCAGCACTGGGATAAAATAAATACTGGCAAAAATGACTGGGCAGGAGAATTCCTGCCAACCCAGTTCTCATAAAAAGGATAACCTGAAATCATGTGCCTCCCCAGGCACCAGTTACTTACTCATGTCAGTCAAAGATCTCACCTCTTCAATGACACCTTCAGCCTTGCCCCAGAGCTCAGTGGCCAGCCCATACTGATTTTTATTTATTGCATCCATTATTTCTTTGGCAACAGCAGTCACCTCTGCTAGACCTTTATCATCGAGGAGAGACTGGAAAGCAAACACAAAGGTGGACACCTTTAATTGTGATTTCACATTCCTTTATTGCTAACAGCCTCCACGCTTTCGAGGTTTTGTTCTGGGTAAGAGCTAACCTTAAAATTCAACATTCATTTATACTGTGTGGCAGCTCAGGTGATCAGGTGAGGACCAAGAGTTTAGGAAGGTACTTACAGTGCTGTAAAGGTAGGGCCCCCAAGACAGCACAGAGTCTAGAGAAACAGAACAGATTTCAAACATGGAACTTTGTGATGTACGATTTAATTTATTTTCCTTTTATTGTGGCAACTCTGACCGTGACAAAAATGTATGGAGATGAACTGATCAGTAAAAAAGTACTGTCAGCTCAGTTTAGCCCTAAGGTTATTTCCACAGAGCAGGTTCTTTACAAATCCTGCAACATCATTAACCCCCTAAAGCATTAATCAGTGAAATTTACTTAAGGCAGGGATGGCATTTTTGACTTTAGGTGCTCATGGAATGATTAAAGGAACCAACAAAACAAAACACCAACAAATCACCCACAGTCTGAGGATTTCCAACATACCCAAGGGAGAAATCCATGAGTCTCCAAGAGCAGTCCCCATAAAATTGCACTTTATGGTCCCTTTTTGAACAGCCTGGGTAAATAACAGGAAAAACAAAACCACAACTTTTAGTTAGATATTCTTGACTCCAGAATCAGTTTTCTTTAAGTGAAAAAGATTCAGTACCATTATGAATTAGGCAACAGGGTATTCCAGAAAATACCAAGACGTAGAACATCACATTTTCAAGTGAAAAGCAAACTACATCCTCCAACTACTTACGTTGTGCAGCTCTAAGGCAATGCCAGCAGCCATTTTACCTCCGTAAGATTCCGAAAATATGTAGAATGGGATGGTCTGGGGAGAGAAAAGCCACACAAGGAACTCGCTGGGCAGAGGGCAGAAGATACCTCCAACCACACCCCACAGAAGCCAGGCTGTTCACCTCTCCCCACCAAACACCCACTATTTTCCTTATGCTTCTCAGCTCACTCAACAGACAACAACCCACCCCAATGCTTATCTAACCAACCCCAAATTCAAGATACAACTTCTGAGTTGTGGGGAATAAGAGGCAGGGATTACACCTACACTGAGTCCCACCAACCCCTACCTAGCAGCAAACACTGCCCATCTGGAAATATGTTCACTAAGTCTTTTTGAGCTCCATTTAAAAGCAAAGAAAAAAGGAAATGCTGAATGAGAATTCAATTCACTTACCTGGAATTCTGTTCTACACGAGAAGAATTCTCCAAGGAAAACCATCATATCAGAAACTACCATGGAAAGGTTTTTGGCAAACAAGCTACAGTCATCCACATAACTGAATCCAGTGCCCACAGGATTGTCCACAAACAAGATACTGGTTGCCTGCAGCTGTACAAGCAGAAAGAAGGTTTGGATGAAACCTCAGCTCAGCCTCGGCAAAAAACTTAAGTTTTGATGGCACAAATGATTAACTGAGACAGCAAATCTCCAGAGCTGAAAGAACTTGCAGAAAAATTAGGTGGGAGACAAAAAGAGAGAAACGGTGCAGGTGACACTTTTCTGTCAGAACGTAAAATAAAGAAAAAGTTTTTCTTCTAAAGGAAAGTCTTCTCTTTTGGGTTGCTGGGGTTTTGTGAGATCGCTGTAGTAAATGATATCCTTGTGTAGTTACAACTGTAAAAATAAAATCAGATCAGCACAGAGAGCTTCTGTACTTCTGTACACAGAAGTACAACATAAGGCCTTTCAAAGTGCCCAATCTGCAACATGAAATGCACCCAAAAACCCCCAGTGATCCAGGGGCAGGTCAGCCACACAATATGGGGAACTCCAAAGTACGACAGACTATTTGTAGCTCAGAGCACCAATACATTTCAATAATTAAACTTCCACCTTCATAGGCAGCTGTAATTTGTTTTCCCTTGAAGGCCACACTGGACCTGTAATTACAAGCCATCCATTTTACACTGCCATCCATCCAGAAAAGGCTCTGTGACTGCACACAATGAAGCTGTGATCTGAAATAAGACTTTCTACAATCTCCCTGCTCTCTGCTTCCCAGATATCTGCATTTCACATATTTGTGGAAGCCCAGATGTATTCCAGCAAATCAAATTAACAGGTGCAGTCTTCAGCTCTACACAAGGTTACTCCTATAAGCCAATTTATTAACCACACTATTTTAAGATGAAATATTATAGTTCTACTGAACTTTACATGAAAACAGTGTGGTCCTGCATAGCAGTCATCTGCTTCCACAAGCAAACAAACACTTGCAATCAATAATTAGAAGCTTAAATCTCTACTGTACCCAGGTTGTATTTCTTGGTTTCAATTCTTTGTCTAATGGACCGATCTCTTCAAAGTTCCCAAATCCACATCCTGAAGATCCTGGACCTCCCTGTGGGGAAAAACCAAATGACAAAGAAGTTAAAAGGCAGCCTGGCACACGATAGATAGGAGAGAAGGAAAAGCGAGCCAGTAAGTAGAACGACAGATTGCAAATTTTAAAAAATGGCTTTTGCACTACATGTTAATTTGCAGAGCAGGCTCTCTTCCTCATCTTTCATTACATGCACACATCCCATTTCTGAAAGCAAGAATTAAATAGAGAAGCAGTCACTTGGGAGATCATCTGATGAGCTGCACGCTATGTGGGCAGTTTCGAAACCCTGTTCCCTGAATAACGAATGCAAAAGTTAGTGATCTGCAGGGGTTTGCAAGTCATTAGTTTAACCAGCATGTACAGCATGTGCATTTCACCCTGATGAAATAACCCAGAAAGAAAAAGTCCTCTAAGTGATTTTATTCAGATTAGCTTCTGAAATGTACTGCTGGAGGTGACTGGAGAACACACCACTGCCTTTATCAAACTGGGATTGAATGGCACCAATCTCTAAACAGAGTCTCTCTTACTTCTTTCCATTTTAAATCTCTGATTATTTTATCTCCTCTCTCTCTCTGAACATTGTTTAGACTGCAAGCTCTCCAGGAAAGGAGCTGTGACATTGCAATGCACAAAAATCACTGCTGTTGTGTGAAAGACAAGAAAAATCTCCACTTCTGGAACTGAACTTGATGTGAGGTGAGCAGCTGGGGACAACCCTCAATTGCAGGATGTCATCATCATTGCTTCTGCCCAACCTGAACACTTTATTCACAAGGTGAGTCATTTAGAAACGGGCAATTTTCAACCCTGTTTCTGCAGGGCTGCAAGATACCAATCAAACTGAACCGCAGGTGGAAAGAATTATCACGTAGGTGTCTTTCAGCAAACCTTACCTGAAGCCACAAGACGAGAGGTAGTTCTGTGAAGTCTTTGGTTGGGTTATTTGCATAGTAGAGCCACCAGAACATGTGGGCCTTACTCCGAACCTGCACATATCCCCACAGCTCTTTGGGCTCTTGGTACTGCCTCAGAACTACACCTTGGGGGGAAATAAAAATAGAGATCAGCCAGGTATAAGAGGTCAGCTTTGGGCTTTCCACTACACTCGTTCCAAAATATTCCATTTCAGTCTTGGGTGTGGTAATTAGAAGTGCTTCCATTAAAGAAAAAAGTTTACTATAAGAAACCTGCCTATACTTATACCCCCACCCACAGCTGAGTTATCATCAATGAATGAAGCTAAGTCTGTAATTAAGTGCTTCCTTATCAGAGCCTGGCATTGGAGCTGCCGCCGGAACAACAGCCCAATCACTGGTATAATTTGTACTATTAGGAAACACTTAAAGTCTTTCCAAGGCCTGAGCTGAACAGGCAGCCCCACCGGACACCATGGAATAACTCACACCCGCTTCAGGGTCTCCAGGGCTCACAGAATAAATATTCCAAGTTGGGAGGGCCCATCGAGTCCGACTCTGAAGTGAGTGGCCATAAGACCTTGGCGTTATCAGCACAGTGTTCCCACCAGCTGGGCTATCTCCAACACTTTGATGTGAGTGCTGGGCGAGACCAAATCACTCGACAGTCCCCAAGGACAGCCAGTGCGGGCCAAAGAGAGAGCCACTTTTTCAGTGACTCCAAGATCTAATCCTAAAGTTAATGAAATCAGTATAGTCCGGTCACCTTAAGCAATCACTCTACTGCCCACCTAGGACAGGCACTCCCCCAGCACAGACCTTTGAAACTCCATCCCTTATCTCCCGGGCCAGGGCAAAAGGCAGCAGCGCGCCGGAGGAGCAGCGGCAAGGCTTTTCCACGCCGCAGTGCCCCGGGCTTTGCTGCTCCCGCTGCCCCCTTCTCCCCATCCCTCCCGGCCGCCACTCCCGGCGGGGCGGCGGCACCGCCGGGGGCTCAGCCCGGGGCCTGCGCGGCAGCGGCCGCGGGACGCGCTGTGCCCGGAGGGTGTCGTTCCGTTCCTATCTTATCTCATCCTGTCCTGTCCCGTCCCGTACCTGCGGTCCCCGCCGCCAGCACACCCAGCAGCAGCACCCCCAGCGCGCTCCCGGCGCGGCGCGGCCCCATCGCTCCCTCAGCTCCGGCGGGTCACGCGCACGGCCCCGCCCCGCCCTCGGCCCCGCCCCCCGCGCCCGCCCCGCCTCCTCCTCCTCCTCACGGCCCTCCCCGGCCATGATGGCGGCTGCCGGCGGCGGCCCCGTGCGGCTGCGGCTGCAGTTCGACCACCCTCCGCCCGCCAGCCCGGGCTGCGCGCTGTGCTGGCTCCTGCTGGAGCCGGGCCAGGCGCGCCTCGTCACCGACCTGCTCAGCCTCATCCGCCACCGCTTCGGCTTCAGCCGCCGCGCCCGCCTCAGCCTCTTCCTGCAGGGGGCGCTGCTGCCGCCCGCCGAGAGCGCGCGCCTGGTGCGCGACAACGACTCGCTGCGGTACGGGCGGGAACGGGAATGGGAACGGGATGGGGACAGCGGGAATGGGATAGGGACAGCGGGAATGGGACAGGGACAGCGGGAATGGGACAGCGGGAATGGGATGGGGACAGCGGGAATGGGATGGGGACAGCGGGAATGGGACAGCGGGAATTGGATAGCAGGAATGGGACAGGGACTCAGTCCCACATATAAACCTCATCCATGCCCATCACTATCCAAAGGGGGATGTCAGAGGATGGACCAGGCTCTGCCCAGGGGTGCCTAGCAACGGGACAAGAGGAACGGGCAGGAACTGATGCCCAGGAAGTCCTACCTGGACATCAGGAAGAACGTTTTCCTTGTCCAGTGACCAAGCACTTAACAGGCTGCCCAGGGAGGGTGTGGAATCTCCTCACTGGAGATACTCCAGAGCTCTCTGGACACAATCCTGTGCCATGTGCTTTGGGATGGCCCTCCTTGAACAGGGAGACTGGACCAGATGCCTTACTGTGGTCCCTTCCAGCCTACCTCATTCTGGGATTCTGAGTCCCCTCGTGGGGTTGGAAGATGGCAAGACAGGGATTGGGCCTCCTTGGGAAAGGGCTGGAGGGAGCCAAGGGGTTGGGAATGTCCCTGAGGATGGAAGGGGAGTGTTGCCTGTGCCCTGCCCCAGCACCTGCCTGTCACAACCTGTGCTCATGGGGGAGGCTCCTGACTGTCCCGCGCACAGGTGGAGCATCCCTGCTCCACGATAACTTACTTGAGTTGCTGACATGTAGGAAAAAGTTCTTGTTTTGCTCAACAGTGACTTTTGTTAGGGTTTTTTTTTGACAGAGTAAAATTGGACGACATAGTTTCAGATGATTATGAAGAGACGGATGATGGCTTTACTTACACAAGAAAAGAAGACAAAAAAAGGCACAGACACAAGCAGGACGAGGAAGAATTCTCTAGGAATGAAGACAGGCATAAAAGGAAAAAGAAAAAGGACAAGCATAATCTAGAGTATTCCTCTTGTAGGGAAGAGAGCTCTGTAGATATTTGGGACTCTCAAAAAAGGTACACAAAAAGAAAAAGAAAGGAAGAAGTTAGTGGAAAAAATAGACCAGCAGAAGGTAAGGAAGAGAGCTCTACTGCCCATTCTAAAAAGCTTAAAAAAAATGAGAGGGAGAAACAGGTGGCAACAAAAAAGAAGGATGAAAAGCAGACAAAGGCTGCTGCAGCAAAGATGGCTTTAGAGTGGGGCAGTGAGAACTTTTCTCTAAATTCTGGTAAAAATACCACCAAGAAGATCACAACACAGTCCAGCAAAAAGAGGGTGGAAACTTCAGATTCTTCCAGCACATTGTCTGACAGTGACAGCAGTGAGTTAAACATAAAGCAGAACAAGTCTTCCCATAAACCCATAGCGGCGACACCTCCCAAAGACAAATCCCAAGGTGCTGCAAATTCTGCTGCAAAAACGAATAAAGTGACTGTAAAGTCTAACACTGAGAAGACTAAGACTGCAGTTAGTAAAAATGCTAAAAAACCCCAGTCCTCTAGCTCAGATTCTGACTCGAGCACAGAGGATGAGAAGGCGACACCAGCACAAGACAGCACTGCAAAGGAAAAGTCTCTGCCGACCAACACGTTGGCTGTAAAAGCCACTACCACAGCTCCCAAAGCAAAGAGCTCCTCTTCAGAGTCTGATAGTTCAGACTCAGACACACCTGTTACTAAAAAACCCGCAGCAGATGCTGGACTGAGCAATCCCATAGTAAGAAACTGTGTCAAACAATTGCCAACCAGTACTCAAGGACCCTCTGCCAGCCCAGGCCGTGGAAGGGGGCGTGGATCGGGAGAGGATTATTTCTGGAGAGGACCTAGGGGCCGTGGGTTTCGTGGGATGATGAGGGGCCAAGGTCATGGGAGAGGAGCAAACCCTGGCTTCTTCTACAACTACAGCAGTGAAGGCCAGAAGCAGAGGCAGTTAAATGAATCTGCGACAAACACTTCTGTTGTTGTCCAGGTGAGTGACTTGCACAGTCAGAGGTCACCTTTCTCTTGCAGCTTTAACTATACAAGAAGTCTGTAGGATGAGAGTAATTCATGAAAGCAGAAAGAGCTTAATGGGATAAAGGCTGATCTTAACTTAGTAAACCTGTTATTTATCATATCTCCGTTTGTCAGCCTGAGGAAGTGTTTGTATTCAAGTGATTGTACTACACATCTCGAAACAAAGCACTCAGATGTGTACCTTACCCTTCTCAGAGCTTCTCACAATCCCTGCAGCATAAACATTATCTTCTGGTTTTATTAATTCAGTAATTATTAGTTCAGTAATTAAGTCAATGGGTTCCTGTGTTTTTTTCCCACAGAATCCCGTGGAAGTTCCCAAGAGAGACTACAGTGTGTTACCCCTTCTAGCTGCTCCACCCCAAGTGGGAGAAAAGATTGCCTTTAAGGTAAAGAACTCTGAAAATACTGAATGGCTAAAATTGCTTCATTTGGGCCACTCTAAGCTTCTGACCTAATAGTTTCTCTAAAGAATTCTCCCATTGTAAAGTCTGACTTGGATTTTTACAAAGGTTTGGAGCCTATGCATAAGTTAAATACATTTCTTTAGACTTTCTGTATTTGTGTAACACAAAGAAATGTTGTGTCTGCTGTCATTTCAGTGTGAATTTCCACGTACATGTTGTTATTTCTCTGGATACCTTTCCTACAATATTATTGCAAATCTTACCGTACAAATAATTACACTTCACTGCAAAAAGTTACGATTTGTTATTTGTATTTCTTTCAACAGCGCTTGGAACTAACTGAAAATTACAGTCCTGAAGTTTCAGACTATAAGGTACTGATTTTCTTTCCTCCCTTAATTCACTCACAGAACCATTATAGGTGAGGTATGACTTAAATATTTTGAGGTTGTGCAGTGTTTTTCTTTGCATCCAGTTGGCTCCAGAGGCCATTCCTGGTGCAGCAGTAAAAATGAAAACTCCAGAAGCCAAAACTAATTGAAAATTTGAAAGGTGTAGAAGTTATGAAAAAAAAAAAAAAACCCACACCCCAACTGCAAGCATTATTAATGATTATTGACATTTTGGAGATGACAAAAAAATGCAGACCTTTAAGTAGAAAAATGTAGCTGTATTTGAGTCTGCTGTGGTTTGAAGTCAAGGCAAGTTCTTGAAACTGGTGCAAGTAAAATTTTCTGGCTACTTGAGATAACTTGGTTTCTGGAGAAGTACTGAGTTAAACTAGAAAGTCAGTGACAGTCAGTAAACTTTGGTTTATTAGTGCCAGTAGCTGCAGATTGCTGAGCTTTAATTCTCTGCAGATTTTATACACAGAGATAGGAAAAACTGATAGCCAAATTTCCTCTAGCAGTGATCAAGTAGCACAGTGGTTGTATGTAGATATGGAGTAGTTATCCAGTGCTGAAGTGTATCTTACCTGATTCTTTTCTTGTTGCTTTATGAAGGAGGCCAAAATAATCAGTTGGAATGCTGATAAAAAGCAGATCGAGCTTGAGATTCTTTCAGCACCAGCAGGACCAAGTACGTACCCTGGGACACCAAAGGCTTCTTGTCCTGTGCATCACTTGGGAAACAGTCCAAGGCACAGCTTATGTTTCAGAAGTATTCCCAGTTTCCTTGGGTTCATTCTCAACACACCCCTTCCCTCCTCATTCCCTCCCCAGAAAGTCTATTTAAATGGAAAAGCTCCAACCCTTGCCAGTTGAACTGAAGGTGCTCATGGGCATTTACAAAAGTGAATTTCTTCAATCAGTGTGAGTTCTCAGTAACTCATCTCTACTGAGTCCTGCAGTTGCCACTGAAGCCAGAATTAATGAACTGTCATATGGATATTTTTCTCAAACTTAAGCAACATATTATTACCCTTTTCATCCATGTAGTCATATGAGTCACCTTAATTTTGGTGTGCAGTATTCAGCTCTACCTCGGATTTTTTTGGTTAGAATTACAAGCCCAGACACGCAACTGAAAAACAAACAAAACAAAAGTGGGGTTTGAGGTAAACTTTTAAACTTTTTATGTTGTTGTTTGTAGTTAATTGAGTTGTTTTGTTTGGTTTTAAGCTGCTAAGGAGCCGGGGAAATTTGACCTGGTTTACCAGTCTGCAGATGGAGCAGAGCTGATCGAGTACGCTGTCCCTCAGGACACCAAGGTACGTGGGTCCTGCTTTGAATCCCGTTATCAGTTTTCCCTAGCTGATACCTTCCCTGCTTTATGGCTCTGTTCATCTCAGGGAGATTCCCTTTATAATAATGGGAGTCACCTGATTAAAGTAAATGGAAGCAAAAATAAATGTTCCTTTTTAGCAAAAATGTGCATGACCTCAAGGTAAGAATCACTTCTTGTGTATTACTCCATTAACTGGGGTCAAAGCCAGTCATCAAACTGTTAACTTTTTGTTTTGGCTAATAAAATAACCAACATCATGTCTCACAGAGTATCCATTCTTTCAGCCTTATTGATTTCATGCACTGTTGTTCTTACCTGCGTCTTCCCTTACCCAGGATGTCAGGCAGGTTGAGGTTCATCAAGAGGATCAATAAATCACAGGAATGAGTCTAGACAAAGAGTAATGACAGAGAAACTGCATCTGTTGGTGTAGCTGGTACCTGCTAAGTGTTGTCTGTGCTTTGTTTTCAGATAACTGAAAGCTGGGATGCCCTGATAGAGCCAAGACTGATTGTTGAGCCTCCAGTCAATGGATCCAGCGTTGAAAATGGAACTATCTAAACTGTGAAAAAATGTACATAATTGTACAGACTTGTTTTGTGAAATGCTGCCTTCTGGTTCTGAGGATGGCAGGTGCACTGGTGGATATTATTAATAAATTGCTTTAAAAAGAAGTATACCAAAAGAAAAACACTTTTTTTTTTTCCTTAGGGTGTGTTTTTATGCAATACAGGAAGACTTTGTTTAGTCTGACACAGATCTGTTGGGGTTTTTTTCTTAATATTTATATCCTACTGCTGTGAGCTGCAGAACTGGAATGGTTTGATCAAAAGATAAAATACAACCTTGTACTGTCAGTAACTTATTTAAATGTCTGGATTTGGCTACAACCATATAACTGTCATACAGAGGTCATTTTTATTTAGAAATTACATATTGTTGATATGTACACCTCGTCCTCTGCTGCTGCTGAGCATCACACAAATGCCATGAGTTTGCAGTTACTTACAGAGTTCATCTGAACATGTCCAGAAATCCATGTGGATTTCAAGCTGCTGTAATTTTGAGGCCTATAAATAGTAGTGGTAACTCAACCTTGCATAGAACCGGTGGAAAATAACAGGAGGCCCCAGCCAAATTGTGCCCCATTGTGTTAATCTGTGAAAGCCCTTTTTGTTTGTCTGTTTTAGACCAAACCCTTTTGCTCTGTAAGAGCTGTGCTTCCTTTCTTCTTTCCTTTCCAGCAGCACAGTGGGTCACCAGGTGCTGCCAATGTGCTGCACTGACAGCTCTGATAATTATCAACATGGAGGGAACACCTTGTACCTCTGGAGACCTGGCAAGTCTTACAGTTCTAGATAATCCCTGTCCTGGGTAGTTGACTCTTACAGGGAAGACATGGAAAAACCCCAACAACTCTAGATACAAACACCTGAAAAACTGTATGTGGTGGTTTAGCTAATATGTACTCTGACCAGTGCATGATTACACTGAAATACTTGCACATCTTTGCATTAGCCCTATTAAAATGTCTTGTTTGTGAAGGAATCATTTTTATACAAGTAAAACTGATTTGTGTATTGTGGTTCTCTTTAGTTGCCATTATTTCATGCCAGAATTTGGGTTTTTTAGAGAAATGGACAGTTAGATTCACGTGTGGCTGTTCTTGTAAACTAGACAAAAAGAAGATGCCAGACACTAGCACAGTGATGCTGAGACAGTGGGGATTAATGGAATGATTGTTTTTCTAAGGGAAATTGTTTATTTTTAATTCGTAAGAAATTGTAAAAGCTAAATTCAAGTATTTCACAGCACTGTTAGAGCAGGAATCTCCTCTTGTTCCACTGCCTACAGTGTATTTTGGCCATGGTTATGTTTAGTTCAGGACCACAGGAAGTTCTCAAATAATTTCACGGAAGCAAAGAAAGTAGTAACTTCATTAGCTATGCCAATAGTAACAGTAATTTTTAATGTTAAAATGTTATTGTCTTTTAGACAAAAGGACTGATTTGGCTTCCTCAAAACCAGAATTTCAAGCCCTCTTTGGCAATGGGGAACTTAAATTGCTCATCTGAGCTCTAAACATCCTATGCTCTGCTCCAGAAGCAAAAGCTACATTTGCCAGGGTGTATATTTACGCTCGTTATTTACATACCTTTGTATCAGTAGATACCAGATGAGTGCTGCAGAAAATACCAGTGAAGGTACTGAGCCTCTGAAAGATGACAATGGCTTGGTCCAGGTAAGCCCAAGGAGTTAATTCACTATAGAAAAATAAAAAATGTAAACATAAAGAGCTGCTCCTCGGTCCAGTCACCAGTACCACGAGCACAACACACCCCTCTAAGAATGTTCCTTTGCAGTCCCTGTCAGCCACCTCCTCTCAGGTGTTTGCATTTCCTCTGACAGCAGTTACAAAGTCCTGATCAGCCCAGCCCAACCGGGCTGTAAATGCATTTCATGGCATTGTGCCCATCTCCTCAAAACTCCTCCCCCCTCCAGCATATGAGAGACTTCATCCCTGAACTTTTGCTCCTGTCACAGCCTCTCAGCTCCAAATGCCTCCTCTTGACCTTCCTGCACCTGCATCTGTTACCAAGCAGTGACTCAGAGCCCTGGGCAGCTTATCCCGCAGGAGTATTGCAAGACTGGAGTGATTAACTGATGTAGGTAGAAGTCCACTGTTAATCTCTGTAATGTAGGTTTGCAGTGACCATCCAGATTTAATTCAGTTTTACAAAAGAAATGGCTAGGAATCCCTCCGCGTGGGTCCCGGGACGGGAGCGGGGCTGCGGGGAGCTATGGGGGGCTGCAGGGGCTGCGGGGCCGGCAGCCAGGGTGGGCACCGCACCCATCACCCGCTGCGGTTTAGAAACCAAACCCGACGTCTCCGGGCGCGATGGGTGACGCTGCCCCGGAGCCCCTCGACCCGGTCCACCCGCGGCCCCGGTGCCTGGAGGGGTCTGAGTTCAGCCCGGGGGTGGCCGGTCCCGGCGCTCCCCAGGCCCATCCCGGGGCAGAGCCCGCAGTACCTCGGGCTGCCCGGTCCGGCGGACGGGCGGGTGCTGGAGGGGGTGTCCCAGGGCTGCCGCCCCTCCCATCGGGCGGGGAAGAGGACACGCAATTTTCCGGAAAGCCCCGGCCCCAGTTTCGTTTTTCCAGCCCCAGTTTCGTTTCTGGCTGTTCGGAGCAGCGACGGACGCGGTGATGGCGACGCTGGAGCCGGAGCTGCGCCTGGCGGGGCTGGAGGAGGAACTGACCTGCTGCATCTGCCTCTGCCTCTTCAGCAGCCCCGTGACGGTGCCCTGCGGCCACAACTTCTGCGCCGCCTGCCTGGAGCTCACCTGGGCCGGGCTGTCGGAGGGGTTCAGCTGCCCGCAGTGCCGGACCACCTTCGCGGGCCGCCCGAAGCTGCACAAGAACACGGTGCTGTGCCGGGTGGTGGAGCAGCTCCAGGGCCGCGCTGGGAACGGGGATGAGGAGCAGGAGGAGGAGGAGGAGGATGGGGGGGCTGCGGGGTGCGAGGCGGAGGAGCCCCCCGTGCTCTGCGACAGCTGCCGGGAGGCGCCGGCCGTGCAGACCTGCCTGACCTGCACCGCGTCCTTCTGCCACGAGCACCTGCGGCCGCACCGCGACAGCCCCGCCTTCCGCGACCACCAGCTCTGCCCGCCCCTGCGAGACCTCCAGTACCGCAAGTGCCCCTCGCACAACCGGCTCTTCGAGTTCTTCTGCAGCAATCACGGCACCTGCATCTGCTCCCTCTGCCTGCTCGGGCACAAGATGTGCCACACCAGCCCTTTGGAGCAGGCTAAAGCCAATGCCCAGGTGAGCAGCTGCGGGGGGGGCTGGTGCCCTCCGGGGCTGGGACACTCTCCCAGGGACACCCTGGAGCCTCCCTTTGCTCCTTCAGGGAGGGCAAAGGGGAGGCTGCACCAAGACTTGGACTGTAAATCTCGCGTCTGGTCTTGGCAGACTGTTATCTCCCTCCCAGGCACATCATCAGATTGATTCCTTGTGTTTTTCTCCTCTCTGCAAGAAGAGAGTCATTCCTTGCATTTTTCTCCTCTTTCCAAGATGTTGCTCAAGGGCCAGGATTCTGGGAAGGCGCTGTCATGGGGTTGATTGCCAGCTCCTGGACTGGGCTGGGCTGACCAGTGATCAGTGAGGTCTCCCACACTCCCGGTGTCATCCAGAACTCCAAGCCTCCTCTGCTGCCAGGGCTCACGGTGTGGTCTTCTCACAGGCTGACCCGAGGGGCTGTGGACAGACATTGCCCTGTGTATGTTTTTAAGACTCAAAGAATTACAGAAGTAGCCTAGGGAGATCTCCAGCACATAGATAAAAGCCAGAAGGAGGTTCACAGAGTGGAAGCCTGGCCTTCATATCTTACCATGCAGCTGAAAATTGGAGGGTAGTTGAGTAAAGCATGCTTGAAAAGTTTAGGTGGCCAAACCCCCCATCTATTTGGTGAGTGTGTGTACAGCTTACCTGCACAACTCATCCCTGACTGAGCTTAGCAGCATCTTGAGCCAAAGGAACAGGTAACTCACATCTGAGTGATAAAATTCTCAAAATGAGAGGAGTGAGCAGCAGCATTAACTTTGTGCCCAAAGTCCAACCTGAGAGCTAACATTTATTCTTAGCATGAGAACTGCTGAAAGCACTCAGTGCTTATCGACAGGGTGAGTCAACAGTGTGCATCTGCTTCTGGGAGAGGTGGAGCTGCAGGGAGGGCGCGGGTGCCACAAGGCACACGTATGCAGGTCAGCACTTTTACATCTTGTAAGGTTTAAGGAGAAGAGAGGTTTTAAACTGATAGTACCAAACGCTTACAAGGTTTTTTAAAACTTCCTGTGAACGTGATTCTTATTCCAGTGAGTGTGACCCAATGCAACTGCTCCTCTGAAATAATTTCCGATCTCTCCTGTTGCAGGTGATGCTGAAGAAGAAGCTCGTGGAGCTGAATAATCAGTGTGAAAGAGCTGCTCGGGCAATGAGCACTGTGAAAACCAACCAAAGCCAATCTGCTGTAAGTGGGTGACTATTCAAAGTGCTGTCGGGTTGCTTGGCACACGCTGGCCACTGTGTGGTGTTGGTGATTGTGCCCTCGTGACAACGGCTGTAATACTGAGATGGAGTTGGCAGGAGAAGATGTTGTTAGGAAGGAACAGAAAAGAGGCATTTTGGCAGGGCCAGGCAGCTCTGTGGGATATGGGAGTAAACCAGGCACTATGTGTTAATACCTCCACTCCTTGTGAGCGAAGCAGTTTTCTTTACAAACAACACAGAAATACTCAGCTCTTCTATTTGCTGTTTCAAGTAAGAGAAGCCTAAACGTTCCTCAAAGGTTTTCGTGCAGTAGCAGTAAGAGTATTTTGTTCACAAACTGTTCTTTTGAAGCCAGTGTCTGTCTGCTCTTATCTGCTCCAGGAGACAGCTTCCAGAAAGAAGGATTTGATCAGAAATGAGTTTTCAGAAATTAGAGCTATAATTGAAGAAAAAGAAAATGAAGTCTTGAAAGCAATTGCAGATGAAGAAAAGAGAGTTTGGAACAAGTTTGATTATATTTACGGTGTTCTGGGAAACAAGAAGAATGAAATTCAGTCTCTCAGAGATCAGGTTGAGATGGCACTGACTGAAAGCGATGACGTTCTGTTTATGAAGGTATTGTGTCCTTTAAATGTGAATCCAACTACTTGTGTTTCTAGAATGCAGAGTCACAGAATCCTGCTGGGGTCATCCTGCTCTCCAGACGCTTTCAGTCAAATGGTATTGCAGTTGTGTGCAAGAACCTGCTGTGAAAGGATGTACCAATGAGTACACAAATAGCAATGAAAGAACACTGAAATGATGTCTGAAGCTCCCCCAGTTCAGCCATTACCTCTGCCACAAGCAGAGGGACCACTGAGTGCGAGAACTCATCTCCATGAGGTGCTGCAGTTCTCTCCAGATCCTTCTCCTTGTTTCAGATATCAGTTGGGAATTAAGGCATGTGGGCTGCTGCTGAAATTTTGCCATGGGTTGTGTCCAGCTGTAACCTTTGTGCCATTTAGAGTAACTTGGTTATATTTTAACACATGTGCTATGCAAGGGGGTCTGCCCAAGTCTTCCATTTGTCCTTTCAGAGAGCAGTAGCACTGCAACGAACATCACCAAAAGAGGCTTTCGTTCCTACAGTTGAAATGGACCAAAATGTGATGAATTCCACTTATAAGTTTGCCCTTAACCTCAAAGAAGTACTAAAACTTACAGAGGCTCAGTATAAGGAGAGAAAAGTAGAAGGTACTGTATCACTGAGAAAACTGGCATTTTCTGCTTTGGCTGTGAGCTCAAATGAGGGATCTTCCCTCTCCAAATATGATTTTTTAAAAAAAGTGCAACAAGTACAGTTGGTTAATATAAATTGTGTCTTCCAACCTCTGCAGTCCTCCATTTCCACACAAAACTGTCACAGTCTGGGCTAAATTAGGAGACAAAGCATGCCAGTGTCTCTTCTCTGTTATCTGTAATCGGATAAGTTGATGAGTATCATGGTCCTGCACCCTTTTGGCACAGCTCAGCCTGTCTTCCTTAGAGTAATTTATGGTGTCATTGTGTAGCAGGCTTGGACATGTTTAGGACATGGATTTGAGGGGAGCTGTGAAACTCTTTAAATTGATAGGACTTGGGTTTCCCAACTGTCAAGGTGCTGATTGTGTAAGTTCCACTTACTGGGTTAAGCAAAACTATCTTTTGGACTGGGGCACGGGGATGCACTTTCCATCTCTGATGAGTGTCCCTTCAGTTCTATTCACATAACTGATAAATAAGACTGAAAACCATCCTCACTAATGCCTTTCTTTGTAATTACTGTGCATTTCTCTGGACTGGCAATACCAACCATAATGTAAAATATTGCCATTGCAGCCAAACTTGGAAAACCTGTGGGCCCTCCGGTGGCTCCTACAGTCAAAACCTCTGTTGGAAAAAAGCCTCATGGAGCACGTAAGTACTAAAGAAATCACCCTCTCCTAACTATGGTTTTACAAATAAATAAGAGTTCAAGGAGTTACCCCAGAGCTGTTTGCTGTAGTGGTGATGCAGTGATTGTCTGTATGAGCACCTGGGCACGGGAGAGGGAGGGTGCTTTGGGATATTTAGTGATGGATGCCTTGTGAGCTGGAAAGCAGTGAACTGCACAGGTACAGTGGTGCATCAGCCTGTAGTGGTGTCAGTGTGGGCTGTAAAGCAAAGCAGAGCTTCCCCACCTTCTGGTTCTTTCAGGGTTTTCTAATTTGAACCAAACACGTCTTGGCTTGTTTGATGGATTTGTACATATTGAATTCTGCTTATGGGCTGTTCCCCTTCTGTTGTTTTAGGTGCTCCCTCACAAGAGCGTTTCCACAAAGAGAAAAGCCTTTCCCACGCTCCAGCCACTCCACAGGTGGAGGCAGATACCAGTAAGTGGTGATTAAAGGAGGTCAAACATTTTGCTGGCCACATCTTGCCTACAGTGTAGGGCTGGGGTGATGGAGAAGAGTCTTTGTGGCAGGTTATACTGGGGCCTTTCAGTGCTGTTTTGTCCAGATACCACCATTAATAGGCACTGTAGTCTGTTTGGAAGATCTTTCATATTTTTCCTTGGAAATAAATCCAAGTGGTAAGAAGCTACTTCTGTTACTCCCACAGAGCTCTTGACAAAAGGTCCTTTCCATCCACAAGTTCTGGGTGTGGAGCACTCAGTGGGGTCTGTTGGGGAAGATGGACTTTAATTGACTTGTAGCTCCTATTGCTTCGCTGAAGTTCTGTTGTAAAAAGCACAGGAATAGTCTGTGCCTCATGGGGAACAGGGGTGTTGCCACTTGCCTGAAAATGCAGCATCCCGGAGGAGAGAAATGTTCCAGGGTCATATTTCCTGTGGCTCTGGAAATAGGAAGCAAATAGCAGGTCATGTTTCCTGTGCAGCTTTTTGGTGTGGGTGTGTTTGGCTTCAACATGCTGGACTGTCAGCTCCATCTACTGCTGCAGCTTCAAAGAGCCATGACAATGGTGTTACAGCTGGTACAGTCTTATCAGTGGCTTTTCATTCCCAGTAGAACTCACAGTCTGCTTTTTCTTTCTCCCCTTCCAGAGGAGAAAAAGAAACCTGCTAAAGCTGGTAAGTCCAAACTTTCAGCATGCTTATTCTAATTTTCATTGACGGCTCTTAAAATGATAAGCAGATGGTCACTGGTGTTGGTACACTGAGTGCTGGTGAATAGTGTTGGTGTAATGATCACCTCTTGCTCTGAGAAGGCTCCTACCAGTCACCAGGAGAGTGATCAAACACTGACAAAAGTTGTCCAGAGACAGTGGGATTTTCAAAACTTGACGAGATGGGGAATAACCTGAGCTAATACTAAAGTTAACCTGGCGTGGAGCAGGAGGCTAATCCAGATGAGCTCCAGCCTGAGTGTGTCTGTGATGATGTGTTAAACATGCAGGGTTTCTTTCCCAATTGACCAAACTCTCTTTTCTTCTGTCCACACAGCAGCAAAAACTGCAGCTAATCCTGCAGCTAAAGAGCTTATTGACAGCTTTCTGAAGAAATCCAGAGAGGAGCTTCTGCAGTGTAAGACACTCAATATTACACTACTTAAGGATGAACTTTCTGCTTTTATTGCTCTGTAGTTACCTGACAGAAATACTTCTGAGGGGATTTTGTTAGCTTGATAGGCCATCAGCTGGTTGTTACAAATGAAGGAAATTTTGGAGGAAAAGGGGGCAGGAGTTTTCTAAACAGTTCTTTTGCCAAACGAATCAAATTTGTCTCCAGTATTTGTGTATGTTTATGAAGATAAATGAAGTTTTCTAAGTAATGGCTTTGGTTTCCTCCAGAATGATGGCATTAGGGTAGCACTGAGGAGGAGAGCAGAGCTGGGAGATAAACGTGCATGGGAACAAGTGCTTGGGCAGGACTGGATAAATAAATAAAGTGCTTTGCTCTTCAGTACCTTCACATGATTCGTGTCATTGCAGATGGTGCTAAAATCACCCTGGATTACAACACAGCTCATAACAACGTGATGCTGTCTGAGAACTACACCAAGATGTCTGTCTCAGACACCCCTGTGGGTCACAAGGACCACCCTCAGCGCTTCACCGAGTTTCGCCAGGTGCTGGGGTTCCAGTGCTTCAAGAGAGGGATCCACTACTGGGAGGTGGAGCTGCAGCAGAACAGCTTCTGTGGCATCGGGGTCTGCTACGGCAGCATGGCCAGGCACGGCCCCGAGAGCCGCCTGGGCAGGAACGGCAGCTCCTGGTGCATCGAGTGGCTCAACAACAAAATATCCTCCTGGCACGATGATGTTGAGAAGTGCTTACCCAACACAAAGGCCACCAGGATTGGTGTGCTGCTCCACTGCGACGGGGGCTTTGTCATCTTCATGGCAGTGGGGGAGAAGCACAACTTGATCTATAAATTCAAAGCCCAGTTCACCGAGGCCTTGTACCCTGCCTTCTGGCTGTTCTCCAGTGGCAGTGTGCTCTCCCTCTGTTAAATGAAACAGTTAAGGTCTTGTATCTTAGTTTAGTTCACCTAGGTAGTTATATGCAGGTAATCAAACCCAAAGTCTCAAAGCTCGATTGTTTGAGGCAAAAATTATTAGCTCTTTAAAGCAATTTGGGAAATCTGCTGATTCTTTGGTCTGAAGCCTTTAGGTAGTGATTTAACAAAATGCTGTTGATAGTTAAAACTACAATGAAAGGTTTTGCAAAGGCTTTGATTGCCCTAAAATCAAAGTCATGGTATGAACCATTGTTAAATGTCTTCAGTAGCTGCTGTGGATTCTGTGGTTGGCTGTAAAGGAGCCTCAGAATTAATGTGTTCCACAGGTAACCATAACCCCTTTGAGAAAGAAACAGGAAGAACTCCTTGACAAATTCAGGTTCCAGGATTTGAGGGGGCTCTCAGTGTTGCCTTTTTGTCTATACACAGACATGTTCATCGTGAGATGCTGCAGAAAGAGCTACTGAAATCAGTAAGTCCAGGTCTTATGGCACTAAGTTGTAAAAGCCAATATGACAGATCTCATCAGAATGGAAATGCAGAGACTTCTAGAGTTGATGGGAAAGAAATGGTGTTAAAAGCACCAGAGAATAAATGACATTGACTCTGGGAATACACCCGAGAGTCTTCAGGAAGACATCCTGCAGAGCAGTGATGTGTGTCCTGTGATGACACAGTTTGTGGGATGAAGTATTCTGTCTCATCTAATGATGCAGAATATGCTTCACATTTTCACACTGAAGGCTCTTTAGTGTTGGGGGGCATTTTTGGCTTGCATATGGAGCATAGATCTGCTGTTTGCTTAAAGCAGGGTCTTCTGTCATAAAGCTTTTCCTCTTTGTGAGGCAGGATATTCTCTGCTGGTGTATCTTTAGTTGTTCAGGTGGTAGAAACTGGATTTCTTGCATGTATTTGGGAGGAGTCTCAAGACATGTGCACAGTACCTAGAAAACTCTGTTTCTTCTCTGCACAAAGCCTGTGGGCAGACAGGTGAGTCCTTTGAAACATGCAGGGAATTAGCACAAAGGGGAATATACATCCATTCCTACTGGGATGGATTTTTAATTCTCCTGGCATTCTTTGCTTTGGGTTGCGGTGTGTCTTCAGAAGTTCTGTGTACAGAGGAATCTGTACCTCCTACTTACAACTTTAAAACAATCTGTAGGCAATCAAGGTATTTGGATCTCATAGTTATTGGGTCTGTATCTTGTTGATGCCTCTGGACTTACTGTGGTAGCTCCTACTTCTTGTAGCCCATGGAGAACAGGGAAGCTCACAGGAGAGACTTCCTGGACTTTGATTTGCAAAACTCCCCTTTATGGGACTTGGTGAAATAGAACACAAAGCCACTGCTGGCAGTTTGGCAGGGAATTGTTAGAAGGCTTAAAAGAACCTCTGTGATACATTCCACATTAGCCAAAGTGCTTCGTAGAGAGGCTTCCAGGGCTTGGTGTCTCTATTTTCACTTGATTTGTAAAGTCTTGGTACTTTGTCAAGGATAGCCTAAGTTTGATTTCTTCCATTTCTTTGGCCAAGATAGGATATGGAATGGATGGTGGATCCAAAAGAGCCACAGCTGTCTCTGGAGCAGTTGTACCATCTCAAGGGTCTCGACTCTCCAAAGCACAGTCAGCACTGAAACTACCAACCTAAGCAGAGCTCTTTAAAAGGTGTGGAGGTAGGATATGTCCTGCTGGGAGCCATCAATGAATGACAGACTGGGTTTTCTGCCCTTCCAGTTTGTCAGCATTGAGGGACGAGAGCAGTTTCCTCTGAGAAATCCTTTATCTGCTTGGCAGTGCCACGGGGCTGCAGATCCACTTGTAGGTGCTGAAGGATACTCTGTCCCCTTGGGACAAAGTCCCCAAGGTCTCTGTTGCCTCTTGACTTAAAAGGGTGTCAGTACTGACCTCTAAGTCTTTGGGCTTCTGTAGCCACAGTCTGGAGTGACACCCAAAGTCAAGAGCAGCTTTTATTCTGGACAAGGTGGGAATTCTTGAAATGTGACATTGGTGAATGTCCAACAGCATGGAAGACATAAGGTGTCCTGGATCACCAGGCAGTGAAACAAGCCTGCCACTGTACTCCTGATCCTATTTTTTGCCTTCTTTAGTGCTATGAATGACTAGAAATCATAGAAGGGGATTCTGTTCATTTGGAATGAAATCAGAAACATGTAACTGAATCGCTGGGTTTCTGAAAACTCTTGTTTTGGTTAGCTTCAGATATCTTGGATATATTGAAACATTAGGGTGATATAATATTTAGAAAAATATTAGCTACAGCATAATAAGTGATGATTAAAAAAACTTTTTCAACACAGCTGAAGTGGTTTTACTTAGGCAATAACTGTCAAAGCTGTACTGATTTAAAACATATGTAGAAGCATATATTTTAATTGTACTTCTCTTGATAACACCACAAAGAACCCAACTTACCCAGTCTAGATATAGAACTAATTCTGGTGTTAATAACACCCTGAGGATGTGGATTGATTGGCATTTTAATGCACAAGTGAGAGGAAATCAACAAACAGTTGCTCACTGGAAATAAACTAATCTGTTTAAATTTAATCTTCAATTAAACACATCAGTAAAACATTGTATTTAGAAAAAGAAATGCTTATGTAGCTACCTGTTTATTGCAGTGACGTATCAGCCAGGTACTTCCGAATGTGCATGGTGTGTCATTCCATGGAGTTGTGTCAGCCAGGTGTCCTCATCAGGGCCATCAACATGGATTTTATGCCATCTGTGCCTGTAACTGCTGCAGGAGCTGACTGGTGAATTGTGATAGTTTGAATTCAATAAATACTCACAGTAACCCCCAACTCTCAATGTTTTGTTCTGTGCTCAGAGTTGAAGCAAAGCAGTGAGGGAGGCAGAAGGGAAGACACAGCAGAGTACAAATAACAGGTCTTTTACTGCATAATTCCCTGAGTTATACAAGAAGTGGGGAAGACAGGAGGGGAGAGCTGCAGAGGCTGTGGTGTGCTCGGGGCTGTCTAATGCTGTCCTAGATCTCCTTCCCCTGACCTCCACACCCATTAGCAGCTGAGGACAAGGGGAACATCCTCACCACTAAACAAAACCAGAACAGTTCAAGTAAACAAAAATGTGGTCATCAGCTGGGGGAAATGAACAACTGAGGACTCAGTGTGGGATTGCTTAAAGAAACCTTAACTGATGTCCAGCATCTGCCAGCTTAAGGTACCCCCAGAAGCAGCAAAGGGTGATGATTCCTAATGTTACCCAGTGAAATCAAACTAAAGGGAGTGTGGGTTGCAGGCTGCTGCCTCCCTACATGGCCAGTGGAAAACAGCTCAACAGGGAGCTGCTCTGGTGGCTCAATATGTTTAAAAATCAGCCCAAACAAAGGCACCCATGAAACAAGTTTAGCATTTCCTTTTCCACTTAAAGTTCTCCGAGTCAGTTGGGCTGATGAAGGTTTTGGAGAAGAAACTCTCTGAAGAGTTCCCAGAGACTCAAACAGGCCTGCTTGATCAGGATAACACAAAACAACAAACCAGCAAAAACTAGGGGAGGAAAAATCCTCATTATCACTAACCATGATGGCCCTGGGATTAGGAGGTCAATCAGGTCTGTCAGAGCTTGGTTTCAGTTTCCAAAGCCAGACAAATAGATATTTTAAGCCCATATAAACTTGACTGTAACTACAGCCTGGGTCTTGAGCAAGTACCAAGATCCCCAGGAAGTCAGCAGGGTCATTGCTCATACAGTTTGTTTTCTTCCTTGATAATGACATTTCCTTTGGATTTAGCTTTGTGATTACTTTTTCACAGCAAAAGGAACAACTGGCTTGGACTCCAAATTGTACTCTCAGGGAACACACGTGAATGTTTTTATCAGGATGCTCCCTATTTAAAAAAAACCACAATATTTGGCTAGTGTTCAACACACTGTATTTCTATACCCAGTTCTCTGACTGCCTCCCATTTCTTCACCCCTTCCCCATTCCCTCCCAATTAAGTGGCTGCTACTTCTCAAATAATCAATATGTCAGTTAAAAACGTGTCACGGTGTGGCCATTGTGCGACTCCCATTCAAAGTTCATGTCATTTAGACTTTCATTGGCAGCTATTTTGTCCCATTAAAAAGTTCAAGACAGCAATTTGTGAATCTTGCTCAGCCAAGTAGAACTGTGGAGAAAAAAAGGAGTCATTTCAAAAGTCAATTAATTGTGGCCTGTCAGAGAGCTCCTCATTCAGTTTTTTTTTTTTGCAGGCCTTGTCAGGGGCTCACGTCTGTCAGCCCTGTGTTTCCCAGGCTGCAATCAGATGCTGTTACATGGGAAATAATGGGTTTATTCACACCATTTATTGGGCTCTGTGTGGTAGACACATTTGTATATCATTTTACGGTGTAGCAATTCCATTTACATAAAATACAGGCAATTATGGGAGTCTGGCCAAAGCACTGAGGGAGGGTGGGAGGAGCCACCTTTCAAATAATGAAAGCTAATTGAAAAGAGGCAGATAATTTAGGTGAAAAATACCATCATGAGCAATTGTTGATCCTAAATGAGTTCAACAGAACTTTCAGGAATCAAGTTAGTTGTATTTTGTCCGTGCTTATTTTAAACTCCTTAATGTTTTTCAATGTAAGAAAAGAAAATGTATTTCTTACAGCGCCTGTGTTCAATTTTAAAAAAGAAGTAGTTCTTGGGGATTTGGGTTTTTTTTTTGCCTCAGGGGTAGTTTCCTCCCCCCACCCCCAGCTTAGAGAGAGTTTCCACATTCATCTCTAAAGGAAAAAAAACACAAACAAGTAGAGATGGGGAGGAGAAAAATATCTGGAGAAAAAGCACATAGCATGTAGACAGAAGAAAACATGTTCGAATTTTGTAATCCTCAGCACAAGCTGCTTTCTAATCCCCCCCAAAAAAGGACAATCTTTTCAAACTTCAGAGTTATTTTGCTAGACAATGACAATGTGAAGAAGGAGAAACTAATGTGGGTTAGAAGAGTTCACCAGGCTCACGGAGCCATTATCCTCAGGGAATTCTCCAGCTCCCAGTTTGGGTGCCATTGCCAGCTTTAGTCCTTGGTTTTAACTCTGCTCCAGATTCAGAATCCGAAAACTGGGCTGAAATTGTTCGACTCTCAACAGCACCTCTCTTGTCAGTTGAGCTCAAACTCGCAGGGGTTGGCTCCTCTTTCTCTGGCAGCTCGATAAACAAACATGAAATCCTTGAAGCGAGGGGCGCAGCCCAGCCAGGCTTCACCAAAGTGTTCGCTCCCAGTGAAGAGGAAATCTCCCCCTCCCTTCTTCACCTTGCACTGCAGCAGGGTTCGGATGGGGCCTCTCCACTCCCCACTCCCTTCATCCTGCTGGAAAATCCTGTTCTTCTGCCTGTAGACTCTCTGGACTCTGACATCCACCTGGGACATGTGGTTCTCCGAGTCGTGGGAAACGTTCCGGATGGATCCTTTCACCACTGGATGCGAACAAGACAGGAGCTGGTTATGGAGCAGCAGGGAAGCAGCTCAGGTACCAGGAGCTCACTGAATGAAATAACTGGAGGGCAGGAGTGGTGCAGTTTTTTACACCTCCCACCTACACGTGGACACATTTCTGAGCTTATATTGCATCCTTTGCCCAGAGGATCCCTACACAGACAGTGCTACATCCTTGGAACTGTGCTTTTTGACTACTCACGTACCTTCTTCTCAATGTCACTGCCCCCATTTTTCACAGCAATCAATTATTCTTCTACTAATTAATTTAATTTCGATCCCACATCCATAGAAGGCTCAGAAACAGGCCACCATTTGAGCCACGAGCTCTTCAGCAAATGAGAGGTTTGCAGAGCAGTGGGAGCGTCGCCACCCTCCTGCCACAAAACTCACTCGTTTGGGTGCAGAAAACTCAACAACCCAAGACGCAGAACAAGCTTATTTCCAAAGCCTCCAAGAACTTCCTCATTTAATTAGATTTTCCAAGGGAACCCAGAATTTTGGGTAACAGCTGTCTCTGCTCTCTGTCTCCCTCTTTGTGCGATCATTTTTAATCAGATGCAGCCAAGTCTATTGACAAGCTATAATGCGCTTGTTCCTGGTGCTCCAAGTTGCTCCTGCACCACTCAGGGCCCAGTGACTGAAGACCCCCATCCTAAGGGGGACTATAAAGCCCCTATTCACTCCCAGTGTCATTTACACTTTCATTAGCAGCTATTTTCTCTCATCAAAAAAGTTGACGATAGCGATTTGTGAGCTCTGGGGCAAGGAAGTCAGGCCATAAATAGAGTCAGTTCAAAGGGCCATTTCTTCTGGTCTGCTGCTGCTGTGAGTGTAAGTGCCCCCATTGTGTGCCGGGGCCTCCACATCTGTCAGTCTCCGGTTGTTGCGCGGCACAGCACCCGCATGGGAACCAGGAGCTTCATCGAGGAAAAACAACGGGCTGGATTGCGCCGATTAATTTAGGAGAAGAATAAAAATTACCAGCTAAGGAGCACTCCAAGGGGAGCCCGCTCTGCACTGGGGTTGTATTTGCACAGTGATGTTGGCGTCTGGCTTTGCCAGCTTCGAAGTGTGGCAGCCCCGGGTAGGGAAGCAGTGATTTGGTGGGGTTTTATAAACACTGGATGGAATTTGTACTCTTATTTTCACGTAGATACATTTACAGCAATAGAACTGTGGCCACTTGGAGAGGCAGCTCTACAGCTTTAGCTACTTGACCTGATCTAAGAGGTACAAATGTGAGTGTGGAAAAAAGGGGAATAAAATGGACAAACCACTCAGAAGAAAAAAAATCCTATTGCACTATCAAGTACAGAAAAAGGAAAAAGCTTTTAAGGCATCATCAAATTAGTATTTATTTTCTGATGGGCTCTAACTGCTCTGTTTTCTCATAAGGCATGAAACCTAACCAGGACATCACTGAAGGAAGTTTAAACCACCTGAAGTCTTCAACTAAGCTACGAACAACTCACTGCCTCTACAGAAAAAGAAGTGTGTGAGTTGTGAGGGAAGAGAGAGGGCATATTTGTAGCTGGGATAAAAAAAAACATGGACAAAGCGAATAAAAATGACCACACCAAGCACCTACAACCTGTGTGTATGAGTGTCTACGCTTAAGAGCCAGCAGCTCACACCTGCGAGAACTACTCACAGTTCAGTTTCAGACCTTAACCTTTCTGCTTGCAGGAAGCAAGGACTTTGGCAGCCAGTTTCTTCCTTCTAGATTTTACTTTCATGCCCCCATTCAGATTCTTTTTCACACAGCTATTTTCTTTCCCAGATCAGGGAGCACAGTCATTCCATTATTATAAGAAAAGCAGCAAACAAATCCAAATAATCAATACAAATGAAAGGCAGAATGACTCCCCTTTGGTCAGCTTACCGAAATCACTGCTACAAATGGCCATAAGAAGTTCCACGTTGTCACAAGGACGGCACATAGCTAGAAAAAAAACAGACCAGTTAGTTATTTGTAACACTATAATATATGCATTATTATACAATAATACATACGTTAGATAATACAGGACTAGTGAATTAGGAAAGGAAATCAGGCAGAACTACCAGGTTAGAGAGAATTATCATCAGATGCAACCCAAAACTCTTGTTATGCAAATACAACCACAGCAAAGCAGAAAGCACAGGGGATGTTCTCAGTGATGGCACTGCCAGGCAGAAGGACACCCCCACCACCACCCTGCAGCGACAAACCCCTCAACCCAAACCAGCTTCTGTCACAAGGGATGCACCAGGGAATACCTGATGCTCTCCTAGATCTGCCCTGGCAGCAGAGCTCCAGCTCTTACCTTCCACCAGGGCCATCTTTTTGAAGTCGGGGCTGGCCGTGTTCTGGTTGCTCAGCAGCTCGTACTGGAAGCTGGCGGTGCGGCGGCTGATGTCCCTCTGCGGGCTGGCCTGCAGGAACAGGGCCACTCGCTGCGGCCCGTGGGCGCTGAAGCAGGACACGTGGTGGGGCCTAGCCCCTTCGGCCTCGCTCAGCACCAGGTGCAGCTGCCCAGCGCGCTCCACGTAGATGTTGGCACCCTGGAAGTCGCTGGCGGGCTTGATGCAGACGGTGGTGTGCTGGGCACTGGACAGGTTGGGCTCCAGGACCACTCGCAGGGCTCGTGCTGGGTACATCCACTCCAGGGAGCCCTCGGTGCAGCGCAGATGGACCTGCTCCACGGCACGGGAACGAGGCTCCCAGCTCAAACCACTGCCAGGGCAACACCATTGCTCCATCACTGATGGTGCCCACAGCGCAGCCACAACATCCCGGAAACCACTGCCACGCTCTGCCCAGACAGACAAACCCCATTGCCAACCGACTCTCTCCCAATGACTTCCTTCCTCCCTCCCTTCCCTCGGGTCACAGCTGCAGCACCACGCGGGAGGGATGGGGGAAACAGGGATTGCTCACACCTGGGGCTGCACCTGAGTGCACGGGAAGGAGCTCAGCCCCTTTTGCCTGCCTACAAATGCATGCTTGGATGCCTGCAGCATCTAGGGAAATGCTGGAGGACAGCTCTCTGCTAAACAGCTCTAAACCTTTCCGTGTGGCAGGACTGGCCAGTGCTCGGATGCCCGGAAAATCCCACCGGTGAGCGGATGGGGGTGAAAGCCATCATCTGAGAATATTTGTCGCCGATTTCCCCTGTCAGTGACCGAGGCAACCGCGCCAGCGCCGCGCCCGCGGATGCCCGCGGTTCCCTCCCCGAGAGCAGCCGGGTCCGCCCGGTGCCCGCAGCCCCGGTACCCCCGTACCTGCCCCTCCAGCTGCAGCGATCGGCGGTGCCCGGCCGCGACCCGCCCGTCCCGAGCAGCAGCAGCAGCCGCAGCAGGGCAGGGAGCCCGGGCGAGCCCCTCACCGTGGCCATGGGCCGCCGGCAGCGCCCGGGCGCGGAACGGGCTATAAGGGCGGCGGGAGGGAAGGGGGTGGGCTGGGGGTGTCGGCCGAGCCCGTCACCGACCCCTTTCCCCCGCCCCGCCAGCTCGGCGAGAACCCCCCGGCACAGGAGGGGGACACCCCGCCATCACCCTTCATCCCATCATCATCCCCTCTCCATCCCCCGGGCCGGGCAGCCCCCCTTTGTCTTTGAAATATTTAGAAGTGATTAATAACAGTTTCTCGTCGCCGCGTAGGGACAAACAAAAATCGTGTCAACATAATCAAAGCGAACTTTTGAGTGAGTGATGGAAATTCAATAGTTTTAACTTTTGCTTTCATGATTATCTTTCGGGGTCCGTGCACAAGAAAGCTCCGGGGCCCACGATTATCATGCTAAAAGCCGGGCTGTGCCTGCCAATAATTAGATTTCTATATGCATTGCCCTTTCCATATTTTCAATGAACGACATGGGGAGCTGCTCTTTTGCAGGTCTGGGAGAGCGAGGCTCTTTTAAGCAGCCCCTAAGCGTGGAATCGGGATTTCGCGGCCGGGCGGGGACAATGGCCCTCGGCACGGCTGGGTGGCACATCCCCAGATCCGCGGGGCTTTGTTCCCGCTCAGCGCTGCAGCACCCGCGGTCACCGGGACCCTCCGGCCATCTGTTACCTTGCGGTTACCAGCGTGTTCTCACATTGCCCACAGATGCACAGGGGAAGAGGCAGAGTTTGCCCGCTGCCTTCTCTGGGCCGAGGGATTTTCCTGAAGAGGAAAACAGATTCGTTAGAGGAGATACCCTGTTAGACCCTCAACTGTCCAACACCGGACTCCTTGAATCGTATTTGAACCCACACACAACCACTTTTCTGTTCATTCACCAAACACTTTACATTTTTAATTTTATCATCAAAAAAGCATTTCAGCCTTGACTTGTTCTTTGTTCTTCCCCACACGCACCTGTGATGTGAGTCCTTACACAACCCTGGGCTAAAGTCCGGCTCAAGTTGTTGCTGTGCACGGCTCACTCCAGCAGTTCTAAAAACATTTAAAATGCGTTAAACCTCGATGCTTATATACATTAGTGCCAGCGATCCTCAAAGCTCTGTGAAACTATTGTCTTACCCATCTAAGAAAAAAACCCTGCTGAATACCTATGCTCTGACCCCATCTTGAATGGAAAACAACACACAAATACTCTTTAAAAGGTTTGATTGTGGCATAATACAGGAGCTGAGAGGCCAGAGCCCTTCTCTCTTTTGTGCAAATGAGACCAGGGAACAGAGGAGAGGACGTGGGGAAGGAACTGACACTATGATAAAGTGGCCCCACAGGAGGATTTATTCACTTCCAAAAGCTCAAACTAACCCATCTGCTGCCATCAGGAGAAAGCATTGAGCCACTTGATCCCTGAACTTCTTCCAGCAGCAGCGTTTCCCTTTTTTAAGGAAAGCCCCGTGGGTTTTCCTGCCTTACTCTCAGCAGCCTCTCCACCCCATCTCCAGTTTCTATTGCCACCACATGACACAAAACATCTCCTGTTATAACTCTTACTTGAAATTGCTCATTACAGGTAGGACATTTGTAGGACTTTCCCCCCTCAGACTAAATCAAGAGTGGGCAGGGTCACAAGCTGTTTTTAAGATCCCAAATCACCGACAACAGAGGTGAGAAGGAACAATCTGGACATTTCACCTCCCTGTTGAAGCCTGGAGGTGTTACACCACTTTAACCACATCTATTCTAAAGCCACACAAACTCACCTTCTCCCCAAGGATGAACTGTTCAGCTGCTGTGACAAATCTCTGCAGGTTACCAGTGTCAGATTTACCTCCAAATGACTACCACACTGCCTAGAATTTTCCCATGCACTGAGGTTTGAAACACTTCGACTTTCTAGCAGGGATCTCAGGCAGAAATACAGCCATGGAGTTCAACAAAATGCAACTTTGTTTTTAAAATCCCTGGTCTCAGCCTGATGCAGTCCTCCCCCAGCCAGGCAGTCATCCTCACCCTGGGGTTGTTACAGAGTTGAAAAAAAATCATACTTGCTTTTATGCATAGTGAGGAATAAAAAAACCCTGAGTTTAAATACTTTAATCCACACACTTACATCTACAGAGAAATACAGTACAAACAACAAGACAACAAAAAGTGCAACAGGAAATTCAGTAACAGAGTCGGTGTGAAAAACCTCTTTAGTATTTACAAACTTCTATGACAAATATGGAGCAGATGTTTCTCTAAGGAGCCTTCTGGGAGCGCAAGACACAGAGACAGGCCGTGGTACAACTCACTGAGGTTTCCAGTCTCCCTTAATGTGGAGTAACACCCCAGAACGGGGCAGTTCTGTGGCTTTGTGAAGCTGCAGCTTCTCACAGACAGAACCTGACCCAAGCACTCAAATCACACACCACTCCATGTCATGACTGCAGCACACGTCACAAGTTTTTATGAGACACGATCACAGCTGCTGTGCCTCTGCAGCAAATAAAGGACAGACCTCCCAGCTTTTATGACCAAGACTTTTTACAGCAATACTTCCTTATCCTCCCATTTCAGCCTGCCCTCCTTTTAAAAACCAAAGGAAAACCAGATTGGGATGTGAAAACGTCACTTGATGTCAAGGAAAAATTGGAAAATTTTGATTTAAACGTTTATTTTTGGAGGTTCAAGATTACGGTGGCTGGTTCTTTCCTTGCAAGGAAGATCTCACGTACTGTACAGCTGTGAGCAGTGGGATTTGCTCGGAGTTTTTGTTCTCTGAGGAGAGGCAGGAATGATGCAGAAGGTGTCTGCTTATGTTTAAAGCACTAAATACAGATCTCAAACTGCACCATACGGATACAACCGATCTGTCAGGAGTCCACTGATCACTCCTTCCTTACTGCTCAGTGGGAAACCAAAAAATACTGAATCCCAAATGTTACTTTTAGCACATGAAAAAAGCTAAGATGTTATAAATTCTATTTTTTGACCTATTGCACTTTAAGCTCATATTTTTCCTGTTTAGTGCAATGTCAGAATATTTGGATATTCAATGCAAATGTAAGAATATTTGGATATTCAATGCAAATCCCAAGCTGCAGCATCACAGTATGTGAAGCTAAAGAATAACTTTTTTTTTTTTTTTTTTTTAAACTGCTAACATGCTGGTATTTTCTTGTAAGTAGTTATTACTAATTTAAAGTTACAGCTCTTAAAAGTAACATTTTTACAGTATTCTGATCAGTGATTACTAAACAGCTACTATACACCTTTGAAGTTACAAGCTACAAAAATAAAAATCCTTTCTGTTTAACTATAAAAACCCTAGAAAGAGAAGATGGCCAGAGGTACTCGAAGGATTACAGCAGTTGGTAGCAGACAAAATGGCTTTTGAGGGATGTAAACCTTGAAGTTACAGAATGCAATAAACTCACAATATAAGTTCCCACTTAAAATTATTTCTATGCTGAAACCTACAAATGAGTTGCAAATAAAACAATGCCAAGAATTAATTTCATACAGCAGTAGGGGTACACAGGACACAGGGCAGCATTAACAAAGTACAATTTTGAATACATTCATACAGTGAAGGGCCAGATCCTCAGCTAAGGTAAGTCTGCACAACATCACTAGGTTTAGTCAAGGCATGTGGCTTTATCCAGCTGGAATTATCTCCCTGAGATGCCCCAAACCTGAACCGAATATTCAGCACTCTTAGCAAGAAAACAAAATTGTGATCATGTCGTGCTTTTAGAACTGTGGCCTCACTAAGAGAGAACATGCAAATTCTCTCAATATGTTTAATTACCACTAAACAAGTGGTCTCTGCTGTCTCGTCCCTGTGTTCAAGCAGCAGCTCTGATTTCTCAGAAAAAAAGGAATTTTTTTAACTAAGTAGTTCACATTCAACAGAATCAGTTATGTACTGGTATTTTTAAAACTGAAGACAACCTAATCTACTCCTAACTGAATATTCAATTTTTCCTTTTCCAAAAGGAAGAAAACTGCAAGTAGCCTGAAAGGATTTTCAGTTAGAACACATGCAAAGATTACTAAATATCCTACCCTTAGACTAACTGGGTTCCAGTGCTGCTCTACCGAAAGCATTTGTTGCCAAGTAGGAAAAAAAAAAGAGTAACTCCTCTAACACTGACACCATTGTGCTGCTCCCAGCTAAAGGTGCAGTGCTTTGGGCTTTTATTAATCAGTGAGATACAAGAACACACCGTAAAAGCTCTGAGCTTCAGTGCAACGTAACACAGAACCAGCAGGAACTGGCCAAACTGAAACCAAACCCTTTAACACTCAGCTCTCAGAACGGGGAGAACCAGGAGGTTCCTGCCCAGCAGCAACGAGCAAAAACCGTGCTTTCCAAACAGGCCAGGGGGTCTGGGAACCTTTGGAGTCCTGACAGCTCCCAGGTGGTGATGGGGACTGGAAAAGCCAAGCAGGTGGGTCACTGGGCTAACAACAGCTGTGTGGAGCCTTTCCAGTTTCCTTTGCTGACAGGCTGGCTGACATGAGGATAAACTGGACAGAAGCTCAACCATCCTGGCTTCAGCAGAGCTTTTGATACTGTCCCAAATGACAGTTTTTAGCTGAAACTGAGCCAGCACAAAATGAGTAATTAAATGACTGAGGGAAAGAAGCAAGAGGGGGAATAAATTCTCAATCTGAATCAGCTGAGGTTACACAGAATTAACCTTTACCCCACTCTTGCTATAAGCACTGCCTCAAGATCACTGCCTCCAGTGTGTTCAAAAATGGTAAAGCGTTTTTTTGCAATCAGGAGAAGCTCCAATCTGTTTTCTGAGGGCAAATACTTAAAACTTCTAACTAAAGACAGTGGTGTTTCAAGTTCCTCAGTGACCAAGAAAAGCAAGATCTGGGGGGAAAAAAAACCATATGGAGTGACACTGGAAGTGAACATATAAAAAAGTATCAAATGCATAAATTATGCTACAGTCTTTACATTATAAACATGAAATGCAATTCATAACAGTGCTGAGAAAAATGTTCCAATTTGAACAGAATCCCAAATTAATTTGAAACCAAAATATTTCTACTGCAGAGAAAGAAAAACACAAGACTGTGTTCTTTAATAACTGCAAAAATTTCAAAATGCTCTTAAAGGTATGCTCTACACACTACCCTGACCTGCTTTAAATACCAGGAACAACAGACATACCAAAAAAAACCCCAAAGCATAAATAATTGCCATTTCCCTCAGCTGTTTTTGAAGACTAAAAATGCAAGTTTGGACTTTTTATGAAGCTCAGATGTGAAGAAAGATCCAACTGGCATTTGAAACGGTTTAACCCTGCTATGAATTGCTGAAGTGAAAACACAAAGTCAAACAAAGCCCGTGACAGGAGGTTCTGCGCACATGAAAACACCCACGACATCCTCTCAACACGTGTAAACAAGCCTGGAGTGAACCAGGCAAGGAGCTGACCCACAGAAAGGCTTTCCATGCAAACTTAATGGTTTTTGTACTGCATGTCACGGGACTCAGAAACCACAGTAAAGACAGTAAAACTTAAAACATTGTGAATTCGCTTTTAAGTGCTTGACTGTTGATGTTATTGTTTGCTCTGCACATTTTACACACAGGTATGATGTATGAAGACTGACAGAAGAAACAATTCATTATTTGTCTTTCTGAAACACTGTTTTCACTATTTTTTCCAATGTTAATGATTAAGAGGATAAGGGAAAATTCTTCCATGCAGGACAGGAGCTGCAGAGTCCCCTCTCCCAGACAGAGAGAGGTCCTCTCTGTGGGGTTTTCAGGATTCCAAGCTACAGGAGGAGTATCCCCTCCTTGTAGCTGTTTGAACTGGTGCTTTATGCACTACAACATTAAAAAGGCATGGAACAGTTTACAGTCAGAATGCACAGCACATCAGGCAGCTGCAGCTCTGTTACAAATCAGCCAAGTGCTATGTTAGACTCTGGGAGCCCATTGCTGACACCGACCATCTGCAGTGGGACCAAAGGAACCCAAAACAGACTTTAACCCACTTGGCAACACAGAGGGAAGGAGGATACACTGAAACCAAAGGACAGTTGGAAACAGCAAGACTTCCAGTGCTAACAATGGATGTCTTACAAGAACTTTTCGTGTCATGGTATGACAGCTACACAGTTACAATGGAAGGGTGAGCCCATGTCCCACTGGGAACTGGACAGTTCAACCCTAAAGAACCATAAATGCAATTTCACAAGAGGCTTCCTCATGCTCACCATGGCCACATTTGCTGCCATCACCATTTGAGACACAAACTTCACAAGCCATTTTCCCAAACAAGCACCCAATGAGGTGCTACTTTCACTTTGTTTCTCCAATAAGAATGATGGATTTACATTTCCCAGAGGGTTTCACACAGTTAGGACTGGACTCCCAGCAAGCTGCAGTAAGTGGGAGGATGCACCAACACCCACTGGGTGAGAAACCAACTCACTGCTCCCCTACAGCAGCACAAGGAGCCTTCAAAGCCTGGACATCATTTCTTTCTGTGTTAGATGTCAGGAGTCCAAAGAGTGAAGTTTTTGAACAATTAGAAGTTCTCAGGCTACAAACCAATTTGAATAATCACCTGATCAGCTTCAGGCAACTCTTTAAACTGCATCACGAATAGTTTAAAGTAGCCAGTGGTGTCATTTCTCTTGAGCAAATGCTGCCTTTCAGAGCACATCTCCTGCTTTTCCAGAGACTTGTCATTTGTTTGTAAACAACAATTACATAAGAACCAGAGCATAGAACTTAAATATTTTTAGGATGGTTACAAGTTATTTAAAAAAAATAAAATAAAATAACTTAACTGGTAAGATTTTTGCTAATACAAATTAAACCTCATAACTTAAAAAAAAAAAAAAGGTAGCGGATTCATCTAACATATATCTAAGGTATCTTAAACACTTTTTACATAGACTTAACTATAATTTTTATCTATATTTATATACAATAAAATAATTCAAATGAGGTGCATAAGGCTAATGAATATGGAATTTACAAATGGCTTCTGTTTACAGCTCATTACACTCTAATCACATTTTCAGACACCTATAAATTCACTGAGAATCAGTAGTATTGAAGTTCTAGTACAGACACTTTCTACAAGGAACACCATCAAGTTAAAAACTCTCTCCAAAGAGGATTACAATTGAAGGTTTTAAAAATACTGACTTTGCCAAGTTTTCAATAAATTACTTTAAAATATAAATAGTTCATTCACCGTTAATGAAAGCATCATTTTACAGATCGCTGAAAAATGGTTTCATTTTAAAAACCCTAGAAACACAGCCTACTTTACCCAGTGGTCTCACTTCCTGTAAGCACAAAATAAAAAGGAAACAAACAAACAAACAAACATGGGGGAGCAATGACAAAAGCAGCAACGTTTAAAGTTCAGACCAAAGCTCTCAATCTCTTTACAATCTTGGCTTATGCAGCATAAATTCTCTTCCTTCTTGGAAGAGCACCTTCAGCAACTGAACTGGACTAACCTGACATTTTAAACCCCAATTCACCTCTCACCCACTGCAGGCTTAAAATGCCTGCAACAAAAGAGGAAAAAGGAAGCAGGTTTTTGCTTTTGTTAACCATGGAGATGTTTTCACCTGAGAAGCTTTAACCTGAGAAGCTTCAGATAGGCCAAACTGACAGTCCCTGTGTACTGTTTATGTGTTCTGAACCTTTAAGCATTAATCTTTTCCTCATTTTATAAACATAAGGGAAATGTAGGTACCAGCAAGTTGTCTTTGGCTCCCTAAGAGCCAGTCAGAAAAGAAATGCTTCCATGCTTTTTTCACAATCCAATTATGCACAGGAATGCCAGAACCTGCCAACTTCTGCAAACTCAGCTCTCAACCTCCACACTTAAAATGGACACAGTTAACAGACTGATTTACTACTGAGCATTCTCAGAACTTTAACAAGTCTTTAAAAAATACCCCACATTTGTCAATCATCATTATTTCTTTAAAACCTTTCCCTCTAAACAGCCAAAAAAGGCTGCTCTTTGTCCAAGTTTTCCTCCAAAAAGCCTCCCCAAGAACTGTGATGCTGTTATTTACAAAACCTGGCATTAGTCTCTCACTGGACTGAAGCTGAGTCAAGTCACAGGATCATTCAGTGCAAGTCATGGTACAATTACTCTGAGCTGTATCTTGGATACTCAGGATGTCAGGGGTACTTTATGGCTTACAAAGCCACTGAGAAAGGTCATTCACTGACAGAACACTTCCGGAAACCTTTGGTCCAAACGCATCTTTTTCTTGCTGACCACCTTCCCAAGAGCTCCCAGATCCTCCACTCTCTCAGAGAACAGATTAGAAATGCACTGTACAGGCAGTTATTTCTCTTGCTCCCAAGCAGAGGTGGCAGCCAGGAGCAGGCTGCTGTCAGGAAATCAGCCCACATCCAACTTGGTCTGGTTTTCTGTCCTGGGGAAGAGGGCAGGTGGCAGCAGGTCAGACTCCAGCTGTGCCCCTTTCCAAGGGTATGAAACATCCACACACTGTACTGTGGATGTGCAGAAGGTCTGACTCCTCAGCAAGGAAGGGCTGCAGCATCTGTCCTTTTTGAGTTGCTGGAGTAACTCACTCCAGCTATAAAGGTTGGAGGGTATCACCACCAATCCAAAAGGCAAACCAGTTGTGGTAATTGAGCTGTGAAAGTTTTCAGGAGTGTCAAAGCATGGCTTTTTCCTCAGCTCTAATTCATTCACAAGTGTGAAACTCACGGCATAAACCTCACTCTAGGTTAGGTGTGTTTTAACGAGCTGAAGTTCCTCGCTGTCTCACATTGAATTCCATAAAATCTACATGTCCTCATCCCTCTGCTCTGTCCCAGGGTCCTACTCGGACAGGCTGGAAGCGTCATCATCCGTCTGTTCCCCCGAGTGGTACAACATCAGTGCGTGAGTCTTGTGTGTGATGGTGACTGTGCAGGGCCCCTGGGCCCAGGGCTCTCCATCCACCTGCATCGGCATCTTCGAGCTCTTCAGGATCAGCTGGGATCAAACAGAACAACACACCATCACAGCAGCTCAAAGGGGCCCTGAAAACACCTTTTCCAGGTGCAATCTACTGATGCCAGGCACATTCCCAGCCTGGACAGGGTTAGGGTCCTGGACTCACAGCAGGACTGTGAATTACGACATAATTAATTTTTACTAAGCAAGAGAAATAACTACCTCAACTGCCAACTGCAACTTCAGACCTGACAGCTGAGTGACTGAGATTCTGCACTGTGTATTAAAAAGAAAATGTAGGGAAGCAGCAGGTCGACAACGAGCACTCACCCTCACGGTATGTGCCTGCCCCAGGCGAACAGGGTTGGCCAGTTTCACCTGGATCTGGGCACAGTGGAAAGAACCATGAACACCAACAACTTCCAGAAGTCCATCATCATGCCTGGGAAACAAAAACAGGACACTCTTCTTAGTGATGCTCAGCAGCCCTAGCATTCCTGTCCAGATATTGCACAGTCCTTTTATGGCTTCCATATAGAGAAACGCTGTTCTACAAAGAGGTTTATCTATTTGTGCTGGACAACAAAGCACAGTGAAGAACAAATAAAACCATCAAACCCTGCAATTATGGAGCAACACACCAGCTGGCTTATGGAAATTACAGATTCACGACTTTCCACGGCTCACTGTGCTTACTTATAGCTCACAGTGGACTTCTCTTCAATGCACTTGTAAAATTTTCTTTCTTTGCCCTCAGTTATTAATCTACAGGAAAATCTTTTAATGGCTTAATTTTTTCAGATTTGGGTAAAGCACCTTGCCCAAGTATTTTTTAGAAATCCAGTCTTGAAGTATATTTATATATAAGGCTTCTGAAGAAGGACGTCACAGGAGGGAATAACTAATGTTCCCACCCATTTTTTAATTTCGTATTGCTCCAGTTTACTCAGAGCAGAGGAGTTAAAATTTGGACATGTTTTGTTTTTACTTTCTATCTTAACCTCCATTAAGATGGGTTCTTTAAGTTCTAAAATAGATCCATCTTCTACTTTTAGAAGGCTACTTTAATTTTTAACAGCCTCTCCAATGCTACTGCTGTCATGCCAGACATTTTGAGTCTTTAAAAAACCCCTTGACGTGTGGGATGCATTTAATCCAAGTCTCTACTATGAGGAAAATAAATAAATATGAGACAGCCCAGGAATCCTTCTGATCTGCAGGGAAGTCTGGCTATGTAAGCACAGTCTACTGGGGGGAATTCCTTACACTACAAGGGCTGTTAGAGGGAAAAAGCAAAGCCAAAAATGCACTGTGTACCTCGCCAAGGGGTAAGGTTCATCCCCCATTCCTTCCCAGAGCCTGCAGCCACCTCCCCAGTAGCCAATATTCAGCACAATGATGCCTTCCAGATTGGGCAACTCGATCCTCTCACCGTCCAACTCTAGCTTTAAAAGACAAACAGAAGTTAATTACTGTGGATCAAATTCAGTACTTCAGTATAAGCTAGTTATTCTCTTTATGCTCTTTTAATAAGCTTCCACTTGAAGAAAAATTGGCCCTGTACAAAGAATATGTGTTTTCTTTCCATACTTTAAAAAAAAAAGTATTACTTCTGATTTCACGAGATATCCTGAGCTGTAGTAAACTTGTGTTAGTAAAGAGAAGCAAAAGAGCTCTCACTTATGTAAGCCTCTGGTGCTAAGGCAAATTTTATCTGAATATCAGTGCCTGAACTCATAGAACTCAACCAAGGCCAGAAAAAAAATTAGAAATTTTCAGTAAGCTCAAAGAGACAAATTCCATGAAGTAAGCTGCAGATAGCAAAAAGAACATAAAAAATACTCCAAGGTCAGACCCACCCTTACATAAATATCACATAAAGTACAAAGCTTCTTCCCTTCTTTTTTTTCACATGATAAGCTTTTACACTCCACTGAATATCCAGAGAAAAAGCAAGCTAAAAAACTTACCTCAACCTTTTTGTTAAGGTCTTTACATTCTTGCACTAAGCAGTCTTTGGTTCCATAAAAAAAATAAACAGCCTACAGAAAAGCCCCAAAACAAAACAGGTAGAAAAGAAAACAGTGTTAGAAAACACATATGGAGACTATTTGAAATATTAATGTATATATATTGTATATATCTGCAAACCTTATCTGCACTCAAACTAAAGTTTCCAAATGAGATGGGCTACAACTTGAATAAGAAACTTACTTTCCACTGGAAAAGGAAATAGGCAATGTCTTTAACCCATTAAGTTTCAAAGCAAATGAGAAATTCTGAGCAAAAACTGAACAAACAGCAAATTCTCTAAGCAGAGCCAAGGCAGTAACACCTGGGAGTGGGCTGGAAACGTTTTTTTACCCATGGAACCCCCTCCTCAAGAAAAATGGATTTTAACTTTTAAAACTGCATGAAAGGAAGCAGGGGAGTAAAGCAATTTAAAGCAGAAAACAGCCTTAAGTCAAATCAACAACTACAAAGGGGGAATGTCACTTTACCAAACCCACCTTATTGATAATTCTGCTGGAAAACAGAGAGGGAGTCTTCTCACGATGAGCATGGAAATTTAAAGCCATGAGAGCATCAGGTCCTATAGAAAAGTAGTTGTTCATTGTGAATACCTGTAAGACAAAACTTCCAGTTATGGCCTTATTAAATATAATTATTATTAGGGTTTAAAATTCAGAGAGTTTAATGGGAAGATGGTAAACAGAAAAATACTTATAGAGGTATTCCATGGAATTCATATTTATACTTGCAAGCCATACCTTTGGTTTCCTTAAGTTGTAGTATCCTTTGTTTGTTACTTGAACCTTCCATCTGAAAAACAACAGTTGTTACTTAGACTCGTGACAGTTCTCAGTACAAGGCTGCAGTTAGGAATCTCATGTCTATACTGGGATCGAGCCAAAAGATTAACTTAGTTAAATTATGAAGGAGTTAAGCCCTGCATAACAATTAAATAAAGACCAAATTTGGACCTCAGCTTTTGTAGTTCCTTCCAGCAATACTTGTGTTTCTTTAAAGTGCTGCAGTGGCCCAATCAGCAGGGCTAGAGCAGTATTGGGTCCTACACATTTTACCTTTCCACTGTTCCTTACCTGTCGAGTTTGATTCCATCTGCCTCCATGACATTCCGTAAGATCTGTTCCACAGGGACTTCTCCAGCATAACCTGCCCCCCAGCCCAGTGTGTTGGACAGGTCATTCCCTGTTCCCAGAGGTAAAATTGCAACTTGTGGGATGTATCGTTCTTGCCCCTAGGATACAAAACCACTGCGTGTCAACTCCTGCGCCAGCACTCATTGTCTCCATTTCATCCCCAAATGCTCAGATTAGGTAAATACCACAAATCCTGCCAGCAGCCTGTGACACAGAGCTGGGCCCTGGGCTGGCACTGTCAGCACAGCAGATGGCACATTGAACTACTTACCACGGGGATAATGTAAAGGAAGGAGATGTTAAACCCCTGTGAGAAGGAAAGAGAATTACAAACACAATATGGAAACAATGCATCATGAACACCGAACAGAGTACTCCTTCAAAGGAATGGTGCTCTGGATCTGGGAAAGGAGATGAACTCTGAGATGTAACATAGCAGACTGTGAACAACAAGACACCAAAATGCTCTTACAGACTGAGGTGAGGTTGGGTCTAAACAACACACGCACAAAATTCCAGTGTTCAACCACACACACTTAGGGGAGGAGAGGCAGTGTCTCAGTCTCAGTCTGTCACCCACAGATGGAGCAGGTGATAAATATCTCTGCAGAGCACAGTGACAGAAGCAGACACTCAGAACGGCCACCTTAGCAAAGGGCTTGGCTCTCCTCACCACAGCAGGGTGAGCAGTTATTTCAGATGTACTATGGCCCTGGAAATTCAGCTGTGAAAAGCACTCACAGTGAACTGGCACTGTGGTTACTATTTTTTCAAGCAGAGTTATCAGCCAGGTAACCTGTATTTGAGAGTCAAGATAAATGAAGGGAGCAAATAACCTCCTGTTGATAATAAAAAGGTTTTGCTGATAACCTCAACAGTATTTACCTAACACCAATGACTCAATTTGAGCCAAGAAAAACCCAGATTTCATCAACTCTGTTGGCTCTGAGGGACAATATATCAAATGTCCAAGACCAGGTAACCATATACTCATATTCATTAACCTTTACAGTTACTTTATTTCTACTTTATCAGCATACAATAATTCTCAAGATGAGTTTGATTATGCATGAAGTTGTAATAATGGCCTTCAACTACAATATTTCATGTATTAACAAGAAAGCTGCAGTAGAAGAATAACTTCCTTTTAGCACTAGAAGAAAGTTTATTAGGTAAAGCACTAAAGCCCTTGTAATTATTCTCCATTCTTAATCTTCTCAGGAGTTCTTAGTAGTACCCCATAAACTGGAATTATCTTCCATTTCAAATCAGCAGTAAACATCCAGCTTATTTTTCCCTTCTGCTGTTAAGAGGTGAGGCTGCAGACAGACGGACTCTTCAGAATATATGATAAGGAGCAGAAGCAAATTACTGCTCTCATTCATGCACTGGCAATATAACCAGTACAGCTGGCAAAATTATGAGGTTATTATAAAAGATTGAGAGTGCTGGGAGAATCGAGCAGTCAGAGCACATTAGCCAGCATTAGCCACGCTGTTTATGACAAAATAAATCTGTTTAGACAAAGAGGAAATAACAATGCATAAAATATCCTGCAGCTTGTTCTTGTCTTGTAGTTCAGGAAAAATATGAAAGCTTTTTAAAGTTGTTCTCTTCTGTAAAACAAGATGGACTCCCCCCATCCCTCCCCAATATGAATAAGCAATTCTGCAAATATTTCTCTGCAGGCCTATTCAGGAAGATGAAGACAATAAATGCAGGTGAGAGATTAGGGGTAGCACTCTAGCAGCACCAAAACTCATTTCATCGATAAGACATTTTTAAAATTAAAACCACAATACCTTTATCTTCATTTCATCAATTGCATCCAGGACCCAGCCCACTGTGCCATCCCCACCACAGACAAGAACCCTGACAGCGTTGCAAGGCAGCAAGGTACAGAGCTGGAGGGCTTTAGCAGGTGCAATTTTGCTTAGATCAAAAACCTGGAAGACAGGGAAATAAGGAATTCCAGAAGTTCACACAACATGACTCAGGATTTGCCTCCTGGATAAACAACTCTGAGAAGCTCATTCCAATGCAAAACAAAGATCCTCCATTTACAATATCACATTAGCAAATGAGCTGTCTTGACTTTTACGAGCAGGATTTGGTTTCCCAAATTCACAACAGAGAGCTCCAGCTGCCTCACTAGGATTAAATGGCATTGAAAAACTGAGCTAGTGGAGTTCTCAGAGAAGTCTGTATCTAGAAGCATGATGATGAATTCTGTAAAGATGAAAGACTTCAGATAAGAGTAATTTTAAACCACTCAGCAGACAAAGAGGTTTATTCTTTAAAGCCTTATTGGGATGCATTTGAAACAAATGCACAGTGATTTCTATTAGGCTGTATTCCATGGCTGGGGTTTGAACTTCAAAGGAAGAGTATTAAGGTGCAGCCAGGAAATCCAGGGAACAACTGCCTGCCTTACGTCAACATCCTGTGCCATCCCACGGGGATTTTAAGGGGAAAGCAACTACACAAAGCAGAAACTGTAAATACTGACATTTCCACAAGTGAGGATTTAAAATACAGGCTTCAAATTAAGAAGATCTAAATACCTCATTTTCCAAACTGTGTAGGCTGTTTCAAGAGTCAGACACTTCTCATTAACTTAATGACTGCCTTATTATTGTAAATAAAAAAATCTGGACTGGTATTAGAACCACAACAAACTTGGGGGTGGGAGGAGCCTCTACACTTTTGGTTTCTCTTTATGAAGCTGCTCTTTCTAAACGAGCAAACTGCATGAATTTGTTTCCTACTGATTATTCAAAAGATCCTGCTGCCATTGTGCAAGCAAAGTGATGTTCATTCTAATTGAAACCTTCATTTTAGGAGAGTGGTTTTTCACAGCAAATACCTGAACGGGGTTCAGCAGCATTTTAAACTCTCCAAGTAAAGTCTCGCCCATGTTGTTCCCACTGCGAGTATTTGCCAGTACAATCACTGGCATCCAGTGTTCTCTGCTGTAAGGTACCACCTGCAAAAGGTGAAAGTCAGTCAGTCAGTCACACAAATACTGCACTTTGAAAGTGTTTTCAGCCTTGCTCCAAAACCCGCCCCCTGTAAGTGCTGAAAGGAGGAGGTCACCAGTTAGTCCCAAGGAGTCAAAACAGAACAAGTATTTCTGACACACCAAGGCTGAAGATTCTGCAGTGCCCAGGAAAACAAACACTACAATGTTATGAACACAGCAGTAAAAATTAATAAATATATAATCACAAAACGCACCCAAATGTCAGTATTTTGGAATAAAAAGATTCACCTGCATGCCTGTGCTTCAACAACCCTGCTAGTAAAATGACAAACAGCTCTGAATTAGCACTGCAAGTACTTAATATACCTCGGAACATTCACCTGATAGTTATTAACCTGACAATGCACTGAGTTCAAGTTTCATTGCGTGTTTGTGGGTTTATTTGGTCCAAGAAGCAGGAGGCCATTACCTTTTCATAATTGGTTTTCTTGTCTTTACGCATCTGGTTGATTGTAGACAAGTAGTAGGGTGGGATAATTAAGTCTTTGAATTCTCCAAATGTACACTCCTCAGTCTTTAAACAATCCACCATGCATTCATCATGCACAGTGTACTGACACCATGCACATCTAGGAAAAAAAAAAACGAAAGAGCATGAAAACAACCCTCAAACAACAGGCATGTTGATTTTGCTCATTTATTTTAGACAGATTAACTTTCAGAAAATTACTTATGTTGGCACTCACCATTATAAGTAATATTTAAAGCCCTTTACAGGGAAAACCAAGCATTCCCTGGAAAACTGTGTATTGGCTACAGAAAATGACATAAATTGCTTATGTGCTTTCAAGGAAAGCATTTGAATTCTGTGGGGGGAAAAACCCCCCGATAGTTGTAAATTAATTCTGTTCTTAGTAAAATACAGGTGCTATAAATATCCTCCTGCATTGTTTGTGATATTAACAGTTACACTGAAAGCCTGTATGAGAACCTGAACTCCTCTCCATCCTTAAAGAGCACAGATAAAACACTGGAGTTCAATTCAATAAAGTACTACCACTAACATTAATTGATGCATTTCTTAATATTGTTAATACCTCCTTTAAATCTGAAACCTATAAGGCTACACAGTACAAGGCTGATGGGATTCTGTTATGCAAAACTGCTGTTTTTTGACCTATTCTAAAAGCTGCCCTGGAAAATGGACCGGAACAAGAGGAAATACTGCAATATCCACTACCAGCCTCTGCAGAATGTTAATCCTCATTTGGTACATCCAAAGCCTTGATTTAAGCAGCTGGGAAAGCTATTTTTGGAGTTCCCCTGACTAATCCAACACACGAGTAGCAATGATACTTGCCCTATACCGAGACTTTCTTTTCCTCTTCTTCCTTCCTTTCCCCTTTGCTTCCAAATTGCTCCCCTTTCCTCCTCTCCTACACACACTCTCAAGGTTTTGTTTCTGAAAGTAATACTCTTACACTGTAATTCTGCTTACTTATCAAGCAGTTTGCCAGTATCACACAGAAGCAAAGCAAAAGCTGGCAGAAAATAAGCTTATTAAGAGGACATCCTTTGGGAAGGCTGAAGCAACACACTGCACCCAGGACCTGCTGCACTATCACAGTATTTTGGCACAACACGCCAGAGACAACTTTGCAAGCAGCCTTACTAATGACAGTGAAAGACCATTTAATGGTTCTTTGCATTTTTAAACACTCTTAGCAGAAAATTTTAACAATAGATTATATCGCAGTAGGTTATAAAACTTCCCATTAGCTTTTCTTAAGCATCCTTAAAAATGAACCTGAAACATCTACAGGACAGTTGTTTGTTCTATTTACACTGAGCAGATGGCAATTCTGAGATGTGCAAACACACTCTGATGTTCTGAACTGTGAGCTGGGCCACCCATTGCTCAGGCTACCCACTGTACAAATGACAAATGTATCAGAACCTTCTTAACGTGAACCCCTAAAACACAAACTCTCTTGGACACAGAGTCTCTTCTATGTAATTACAGGGCAGCTTGCCCATCACGCCGGAGTAATTCAATTAAGAGAACGAGTGGCCATGAGATGCAATGCCGCACTAATCTTAATCTATGACTCAAATTGCTCACAAGCATCCATTTTAATTTTAGGCTCTTTGAAGTTAGCTTGTTTTTTTTTAACGATTTCTTATCTGAGTACTGCAGGACCTCCTTCGGGGTGATGTCTACCATTAACCCTGCAGAAAACACAACACTGACACGGCACTGTGCGTTGTCGTACACAGCCTAAGCCCCCAGCAGTACCTGTAGTCGCAGAGCTTGGGCTGGGTGCCGCACTGCTGCTTGCACACCACGCAGCAGCTGCACAGGGGCACGTTCCCTCTGACCCAGTGGTGCGGGATGGAGCTCTGGGATGCCCCGGCGCCTCTCGTCATGATCTCCTTGCAGGCGAAGCGCTGGTCCGCCTTCTTGAGGCAGCGCTCGCTGGCGCGCAGCCCGCAGCAGCCGCAGAAGGCTCCGCGCAGCATGTGCTGGGCGCACACGCAGCAGTACGAGGGCTGCCCGAACAGGTCCGTGTAGTGCCAGTCGTGCTTGCTCTTGCGGAAGATGTCCCGTATCAGCAGCTGCCGCCGCGACCGCTGGAAGCTGCACCACGCGGTGATGAGCACGGGCAGCAGCACGGAGAACAGCGTCCAGAGCGCCAGGCGCCAGTCGGGCCCGCCCGGGCCCTCCATCCCCGCGGCTCCCCGCACTAACCCCTCGCTCCGCTCGGCCGGGCGGCGGGGCGAGCCCCGGCGCGGCCCCTCCGCTCCGCCAGCCGGCGCGCAGCTTCATGAACCATCCTCTGACCCCTGCCCGCGGCTCGGCACCGACCTGCGCCACATCGGCAGGGCCAGAGGCTTCCCGCGGGGGCTGCTGCTCCTCCGCCGCCGCCCGCCCGGGCCGTGCGCGGGGGCCGGGCTGCTCCCGCGGGGACCCCCGGCCGCCCCTCGCCCTTCCCTCCGCGGGGAGCACGGCGCGGCCCCACTCCGGGCCCCTCGCCCCCCGCAGGTCCCGCCGGGGGGGCAGTGCCGGGCAGGGCCCGCAGGACACGGCGCGGTCCGAGCGGCGCCGCGGGACGCGCGGGCGGCGGAAGCGGAAGGAGCGGCCGAGGCGGTTGCCAGGAGACGGGCGCCGCCCACCCCCCGGCCTGTCGCGACATCGCGGTGTCGCCAGGGGCGCCTCCGGTACCCCAAACCACATCACCCAGCTCCTCTGGAACACCTCCAGGGATGGTGACTGCACCACTCCCTGGGCTACCTGTTCCAATCCTGACCACACAAACAGCGAAAGTTTTTTTTCTAATATCTAATCTGAATCTTCCTGCTCTCAGTTTAAGGCCATTTCTGGTCCTCTCACTGCAGGCACGGCAGAAGAGACTCACTCACTGCACTCTCCTTTGAGGTGGTTGTGGACAGCAATGAGGTGCTCCCTGAGTTGTGTTTTTATTGCCCAACATAAATGTTTTCGCCCATAATTTCATTCTGTCCTCATGTGTTTGGCTGTTTCCCCCGCAGCAGTTCTAAAAACAGTGGCTGCTATTAGAAGCTACAGGTTTTTGTGCTTTCAAAACAGTATCTTGAGCAATGACACAAATCCATACAATATATACACAATTTCTTGGGATTTTAGAGTCCTGGTATCTTAAACGACAGGCTGAAAAAGGCAAATGCTCCATAGGTGGGCAATACCCAGGTTTCCAAGAAAAGTCCTGTCAGAAAAGCACATCAGAGCAGCCTGACCCCTGAACTGCCCCATCCCCACCTCAAGGTACACTCTGGTCAAGCCCTTGTGCCCACAGCACTCACATTTTTAGCTTTTAGATTTTTATATCTAGCATGGCACTGCCCAGGAGAGCTCCAGTCACATTTCTCAAGGCTGAAACTACCTGTTTGCAGTGACATTTGTTAACCTTCAGCCTTACTTCACGCTGTGTTTACTAGTAAGGACATTCGTAATCCTGTTTTCTACTAGCTTGTCCTGCAAAGAGAGGAATTACGTGAGTTTTCACTTGTATGATTCTATTAATTTGATAAAAAACTGCTGTGTTTCTCAGCAGTGATAATTTGGCTTTGCTAGAGTTAAACCCCTTTAGTCTGTATTTCTCTGCTGGAGTAAAGTTAGAGACAATCTTTGAAAAAGATTTGTAGCTGCCTTTGAGGTTAACATTCTGTAGTAGGCACTTGTTTCTTTTAAAAACAATAATATACCTTAGGCATCCAAAACCTTTGCTTGCTGTGCCAAGTGGAAGGTGATGGGCTTTATTTTCACAAATTTAAAATACCCAGTGTAACTCTGAAGCCTGAAGCGGAGAAAAGCTCTTCTATTTTCATTCCCCCAGGAACAGAATTATGCTGAGAATGTGTGTGCAGATAATAGACTAATTCAAACCTTCAGACCAGCTGTTTTCAAAATCATGCTATCACTCAAATTAAAGCATAAACAAACATTTGTGACTGACGTAGCTGCTTCAAATAGGCAAATGCCTTGGTGAGTGTTACTCATTTTGGAACGGACTGAGAGGAAGCAGAATCAAAATGAAGAAGTTTCTTGTGTTTGTCTCCTTCTTGGTCCTGATGACCACTGTTACAGGTAGGAGTTTATATCAATAAACCTGTGTATGTATGTAGAGCTGAAGAGCATATAAGTAGTATTAGTTCAACCTTCTGTTTTAGTTTTCATTATTCATATATTTTCATATCTTTCATTTTTAATACTTAACTTTTTATACTGCAGGTTTTCCACCATTAGATTTTTAACAATCATGCTGTTGTATTTGGTGTTTAACTCTCTACATCACCACACTGGAGTAATTTGTTGTCAACCCAAAAAGTTTCATTTTACTAGCTTACTATTTTAATCTTATTTTACCGAGGTCCTGCAAGTGGAATGTTCATTGCAATCTCTCCTTTTCAACACCTAACTCATTACTTTGAAAAAAAAAATCCTATAAAGCAACACAGAAAAGAAAAAGAGTTGGGAGAGCCACTGATGCCAGTGGTTAGATGGTGTTGTTATATTTCCTCATTTTATAGTAACATGAACATGTAGGCTTTGCTTCCTACTAGTAGAACTAGAGAAAACACAAGTATAAAAATGGTTTAAAATTCCACTCCTATCTCCTGGAATGCAATATCCCCTAGGAAGGGGCTGTAATGAAAGAACACTTTGTATAGAGACAAAAATCAGGTTTAGAGACACTTCATTTTGCAACTGACAGGTAAAATATTACCTTTTTAATAATTTCAGAACTAATTCCTGCTTTTCTGTCTTTAGACACTTCACCAATTTTGTCTGAAAAAGAGGCCAAGCAGCTTCTGAGAACTCGTCGTGAAAGCAGACCGAGAAAAGCTGGTTTCCCTGATGAGCCAATGAGGGTGATTTGACATTTACTATTAAACTACATTAGCCAAAGAAAAACCCAACACCAAACCCCCCCCCCAAACATTTGTGCTTAGCGTTAAGTTTAATTAGATTTGATTCCAAGCAATATGTTATGAGTGTCACCCTTTTGAGCTGCTGAGTTCTTCCATGAAATGTAAAAAAAAATCCTTTACATTCTTTCAGTTGTTGCTAAGAGCGTTCTGTAAGTGCTGAGTATCGCTCAGGAAACGTTCACTTGCAGAACGTGCAGATTATTTACCGCGGTTCAAAAACGCTGATCAAATTATCGAGAAGAAAGTGGCTTTTCATTCACAGAAACGTGGATTTCATCGGGTTGTCCCTGAAAAACTAAATAACAGGAAATGTCTTCTGCTTAACAGTACATTCTGCACTGCAGGCAGGGAGGAGATGCAGGTGTCAGTGGTCAGTGTGGAGATTGAGGTAGTTCTCAACTAGCTTTTAAAATCACTTACTTTCACTTATTTATGAATACAGATAGGATTTTTTTTATGATATTGTAGGAGTTTTTAGTTGCTAGCTTAATGCAACAGCATTGGGTTTGCATGTGATATCTAGACATATTTATTACTAAACCCTATTACAACAAAAGAAAAAAGTAAAAGAATTAAAGTGCCTTCTGTTTTACTGGCTTTGACAAGATGTAACATATAATTCTGCACTTCTCGAGGGTACTTAAGGTATTTTAAAATTACTACCTGTTTCTTTCCAAAGTAAATAAACTGAGCTAAAATTACATGGTTCTGAAGAGGCAAACCCCACAGAAGCCAGAAGCTCCAACAGGCTGTGAGCATGTGACGAGTGCAAGGGGCTCAGTTTGGCAAGATACTGAACACCTCTGACCCCTGTAAGACATGAGGAGCACTAGATCCTTGAGGATTGAGCTCAGAGTGTGCCAGGACTGTGGAGACAGCTCCTGGTTTTACTTTTCCAGTGGGTATTGTACACCAGCCAAAAAGAATCCACCTGGCCTTGCACCACTCTGGCTGAACACGCTGTTTGTCAGGTGTGACACCACGACAAATCAAAGCTGTCACAGGGATATTGCTGCACACTTGTTAACAGCCTTGTACACTGAGGATTGCACAACAGAGCCAAAACCCTCACGGCTTCACTGCTGCCCACAGCACTCAGGACTGGGTTGGTTTCTAAGCTGCAGTTAAATGAGCCTTGCAGCTTTTGCAAATTAGCAGGAATACAACTCCCATCTGTGCTTGTGCTGAATATACCACCAGGATTAATGTTATATAGTAAATATAGCACATACTGAGTACAAAGCAAATAAAGCGGCAGAACAGTTGGATTGAGGTAAATCCTGTACTGCAAGAAGTGACAATCTGACGTGCAACATTTAGTCTACGGTTTAGTTTTAGGGAGTCCTGTGAGGAGCAGGGAGTTGGACTTGATGATCCTTATGGGTTCCTTCTCCATCCTACCACAATTAGGAGCAAACACTTGTTGAGAAATTCCAACCTTCTTTTTATTTTTTTTCTATTTCTAGACAGCAAAGGTGACCTTCTGTAAGAAAACTCAAACATAAGAGTATTTGTTTTGCTCACTAAATGTCAAGGTTTTCAGTAGAAAAGGAAACATCTTCTGGTAAAAAGCCAACCCTCACTGCCATGTGGAAAATGGAGATTGTCCCTTGTGAGTGAAGGTGCAAGGCTGCTGCATCCCTGTGCATAGTTGTGCCACTGGCTCAAGGAGAAAAACTGATTTTGTATGGATGCTTTGTAGCAGATTGAAATGATTTCTGGGATGAACCCACCTCTGTTCATCTATTTTAAGCAAAAGCTGTTTGTACTAGGCCAGATCATGCTGAGCTGGGGAATGCAATTTGCAATTCTTTGTGACACTCTTTGACTTCCACAGTGCTGTTGGAATCAAAAACCTGTTCAGATGCAGACAGCAAGATCTGACCCCTTTGTTTATTACAAAAATGTAATTTATGCTATCAGCGTGTTTTAATCTTACTTTGACTGAGATCCTGCTTTTTATAACGTGGCCTCTTCTCAGTCATATAATTCTGTTCTCTGCCAGCTCCTAATGCAGTCTCTCACCAGGGATTTGAGCCAAATCTCCCTGTGCTGTAAGGAGAGAAAGCCCAGTAAAAGGCAGGAATCTAATGCTGCCTGCTGGCACCCAGGGTACCCACCCTCTGCTCAGCACAAAGAGCAGGGGGCTGGATGACAGCGGGAATACTTGGCCAGTGCAAAGGGTTTAGGCCACAGCTTCCATTCCAACAGTGCCTGCTGTGCAAAGCCGTGGGGTGTATTTGGAATAAATGTATCTACTGTTCACAAGGCTTAGGAGCCCACATGCACCGAGACTGGGGACTTTTAAAAGGAAATTTTGTTCCTGAAGGAGGTCAAGTTTTTGATGCACACCCCACTTTACTTTGGTAATTTGTTGCTGGGACCAAACCCCCTCCTTATAAATTGGTATGGGGAATCCACATTATTTTATTTATCACAGAAAGACCACTGATGTGTGCTACCCTCCTAGAACCCATTA